AATAAGGTTGTGCATGGTATAACTCAATTGTCACCATTTGAAATAGTTTATGGTTTTAATCCTTTAACTCCTTTAGATTTGTTGCCTTTACCTAACAATTCTGATTTTAAAGATAAGTCTGGGAAAATTAAAGTTGAATATGTCAAGAAGTTGCATGAGAAAGTCAAGGCTCAAATTGAGAAGAAAGTTGAAGGATTTGCAAAATATGCAAACAAAAGAAGGAAAAAGGTAACATTCGAACCAGGTGACTGGGTGTGGGTGCATTTCAGGAAGGAGCGGTTTCCTTCACAAAGGAAGTCAAAGCTTATGCCAAGAGGGGATGGTCCATTTCAAGTATTGGTCAAGATAAATGATAATACCTACAAAATTGATTTGCCTGGTTAGTATAATATAAGTAATTCTTTTAATGTGGTTGATCTATCTCATTTCAATGTAGGTGAAAATTTACTTGATTTGGGGACAAATGCTTCTCAAGAAGGAGGGAATGGTGCAAACATCAAGGTCCAGACCCATGATGAAACAGAAGCCCAAGATCCAATGGAAGGCTTAGGAGGATCCTTGACAAGAGAAAGAGTTAAAAGGACCCATGAAGCCTTGGAGCAAATGGTGATTAATCTTATGGAAGCCCAATTGCGTGATGCAACCCAATCCACGGAGGCCCAAATGGGGAAGAAATATTATTTTAGAATTTTGAAAGTGTGAGATAAACTCTTTGCTAGGGTTCTTGCTTGAATTATCAATCTTATCAAGAATTGTTCTAGTTCTTATGGCGATCAAATCGACTTATCAAACTTTCAGTTTGTGGCGCCTTTGTTGTTATTGTTTTATCTTTCTTTTTGTAAGTCTTCTTTTTCCCAAAGTCAAATTTAGATCATTTTGTTGTTTGTTCCTGTTTTGGTTCTAATTAGGTCACACTTGTATCTTACAAAATACTATGACATTTTCGATGTTTAATATGAAAAAATCACAATTCAAAATGTCACTGTTTCTCTCGTTTTAATAACACTCAATTTCTGACCCTAAATAGATCATTTACCCGTTCCAGTAGGGAAATTCACATCACAATGTCTCTCTTTGTAGTGATTGTCTTGCAATACTCCTTAGGATTGGTGTGTGTATTGGCTGAAAAACATCCAGATTTTTTATCAGCTAATTGCTTTGTTAGTTGTCTTACTTGTACCTCCAAATTATTTATAGATGCATTTGCATTTTTCTAATTACTCATAGACATCTATATAAATTGAGTGAAGGTTTCCTCTATCTTGGACAATCTATCATGCTGGTACGGTGATTGGTTTTGAAATGGTGGCTAGTTATTGAAATAAGATTGTTGACTTTGGTGTGGTGGTGGATTGCCTTGGTAAGGTTAATGAGGTGGTTGCCTTTGAGATGGGCCTTCATCCTGCTTCCAACCAAATTGATGGTAAGGCTTTTGCTGTGAGTGGAGTTGTTGTGATCTCCATCCTTGATTGTGAGCTTGATTGCTTGATTTCTCACATAGTGAGCTTCCTCATTTGGTCCTGGTTTAGCCATGTTGCAATGGCCATTTAAGTGATTTCCTGCACAAAAATCACACCTCATTACCTGGTGAGTTTCTTGTCGTGAAGATTATGAGACCTATATCCTTCCTAATTACTTCTTAAGATCCTCCATCTGTTGTGAGAGAAGCTTGTTTTGAGCCCGTAATGCATTTTGAGTATCTAGTTTAAGAATGCCCTTCCTGTGAGGTGTAACTCTCTGTCATGGTGGATTGATGATCATTGGTTGTTAATGCATCAATAATAGTTATAGCTTCCTCTAGACTTTTCATCATCATGATCCTCCTGCAGAAGCATCCAAGAACATCTTTGTTTGATGTCTGAGTCCATTGTAGAATATATTTAGCTGTGCAATCTCTTCAAAGCCATGATTTGGACACTTTCTCAACAAGAACTTATATATCTCCCATGCTTCACATAGATTTTCATCCATCCCTTGAGAGAAAGTTGCAATTGAAAACTTTGCATTGATGTATCTAGATGAAGGAAAGAATCTCGCTAAGAATTTTTCTTCCACATCATCCCATCCAGTTAAGCTTTGATTGGGGTGTAACTGGAACCATGTCTTGGCTTTTCTTGTCAATAAGAATGGAAATAGCCTCAAATATACTACCTCCTTATCATCACCAGCTACTCCCATGGTTCCACACAACTCATAGGATGTAAACAAGTGGTTGTAAGGGTCTTCATGCTTCATTCCTACAAACTGGTTTGAAGTAATAAGTGATAGCAGGGTTGGCTTCATTTCAACACCATTTGTAGGCCTGACTATGCTTGAGAAATGTTTAGGTCCTTTCTGATGTGCATAGTCTCCCAACAATCTTCTTTGATTATTAGCATTTTGTTGTTGCTCATTTCTTTGTGTTGTCATTTGTTCTGGTTCTAGAATTGAAACTAAGATTGGAGAGGACATAGACTCTTGTAGTTGCTGCTCTAGTCCCTTGCTCCTTCTTGTTATAATATTATTTCTCCTTATTGTCCTCTCAATTTCAGGATCAGACAGTAGTTGATCAACTGGATTTTTTCCTCACACAAAAAAGGAAACTAAATAAGAATTTAGCACGAGAGTAATTCAAATACAAATGTCAATCTACTTACTAAAATATCTACAAGTGTTCTTTGTTTTTTTACAAAAGAAAACTAAGAATTATGAGATATCTAGACCAAAGTTCTCGACAACAGCATCAGAAACTGGTTAGATTTTTTCCTCAACAAGTGGATCGAGTCAACTTTAGTACATTTATAAAAAGGATTTGTCGTATCCTCAAGAACTTTGTAGATATCAATTAATTCTAGTTTTCATTAAATCAAACAATAACTTTAGAGAATAGTTGTATGATTGAAATGATTGGGATATAACTAATTAACACCAAAAATGCAATGAGGTAAATTGCTGAATTGGATTTCCCTGATAACAAATTTGCAACTTATTACCTATATATGCATGAATTTCATTCTCAATTGAAAATCTATTAATTCCTTAATAATGGCATTCTAAGAATCATAAGCAACAAATCAATTCTTTGATAAACTTGTTAAAATTCTTGCATTAGACACAAACTTTCATGTATCAGTAGTCTTAATTTTTGTTCCCAACAGTCAAGGTTACAGATTGATTTGGATCATATCATAAACATAAATCACTTTCTAATGTAAATCTATTCCTATAATTATGAAGTTAGATTCCTCTAAATTCAAGCATTAAAACAGAACCAAATCAATAATGGAGAAAGATATTCATATATATATATATATATATATATATATATATATATATATATATGTATGTATGTATGTATGTATGTATAGCTATAGAGTTACAAAAAGGTTAAACAGTTACATCCAATCCAACAGAAGAGAAATTAGCAACACATGATGAGAGAAATCCTAAATGTATAAGAAGAAGAGCTCAAATCCAACTAACCTCTATTCTCTGACCCTAGTTTGTGAAAGTACGCTCTATTTTTTCTTCTCGTGTATTTCCCCCTCCTGTTTTTCTTATTAGTTCTTCTATTTATACTAAAGGAACCTTGCTTCATTTTAATCCATCCGCTTAGTGCTTCTCAATTCACTCAGCAAAATGAGGTTTGATGATGATCCAAGAACTAAAGACTTAGAATATTGAAGATTGAAGATTGGTGATAATTGTATTGTAATAACTCTGTTTTATTTAAGATTGAGTCTGTATTTTTAGAGTCTAAGATAGCCGGTACATAGTCTATAACTTAGAAGCTTCAAAAAGCTCAAATTTATCATTTATGCTCGGCTTTAATCGATTATATAGGTAAATAATCGATTAAAACAGTGAGAAAACACTTTCTATACAAACTCACTGTTTTAATCGATTAAAACAGCAAAATAATCGATTGTTTTGTACTGTTCCGTACAAATAATCGATTATTTCACCAAATAATCGATTATTCCAGAGAGGTTTGGGTTCTGACGTATTTGGCTCTGTTTTAATCAATTATTACTCCAAATAATCGATTATTTCAGTCTGTTTTTCATTTTAAATTTCAAATTAACCCTATTTTCGAAAACCCAATTACCAAGAACCCTAGTTTCGAAATCCTCAATTCCTAAACCCTAATTTCCCTACTTAAACTCTGCTTTGGCACTCAGAAAAACAAGAACAACTCTTTCCATACAAAAGTTAAGTGCTGTAAGTGCCAGAGAACTGTTTGTTGCAAGGAAAGGGGGCTTTTGGAACCTGGTGTGAGGCTAGAAGCGATAAGAATCACTAAGTGGAGTTCTTAGTGGATTGTGTGTTGTGCCGTCTCTAGGGAAAGCTGTTCTTCATCTCTTGTGGGTTTCAAGAGAGGTGTTATCTTTAACTTTATCTTTTTCATTGTAATCTGTTTGTAACAATTTGTTCTTAGTGACAGCGTTAATCCTCTTTTGAGTGATTAGCAACTGGACGTAGGGTCTTTTGATCCGAATCAGTATAAACCTACTGTGTAATCTTCTCTACTCTTCTCTATTTACATTTACGCAGTTTTTAATCGGTAAAATTTAATGAAAATTTTGAAAACCTAATTTTTATTAAGAAACCAATTCACCCCCCCTCTTGGTTTTTGTCCGACCACGCGAACATTCCGCTGCGCGATTCTAACAAGTGGTATCAGAGCCTAGTTTGATAGTCATTCAAACTTTTCGAAAATGGCCGGACAAAATCAAACTTTTGTCGAAGGTGCGTCTATCAACAGACCCCCACTTTTTGCGGGTCAAAATTATCCTTTTTGGAAAGTACGTATGCAAATATTTTTAGAGTCTGTTGATAGAGGCGTTTGGGACGCAATTTTAAACGGTCCATTTGTTCCTAAAATTACAGAGAACGGTGTTGACGTTCTTAAACCTTTTGATAGATGGACTGCAGACGAGCATCGTGAGTAATAGACGAGTGGCAAGCTGCTAGTAACAAGCGATGAGCAGTGGTGAACGATGTGATGCAAGTGGCTATCAATGACGTGCTGCGAGTGGCGGCAGAGATGTGCTACGAGCGGTGACCAGCAACAAGCGATGGCGTGTAGTAGAGAGCAGCAAGCAGAAACGAACAACACAAATAACAAGCAAAAACACAGATCCAATTGTATCAAACTCGATGTCGTTTTCCCTACTTTTTTTTAAACCGGTTCACTCTTGTCAGACTTGCAAGTTTGGTTTGAGTTCGTTGAGTTGACCGAATTTACACCGAGTCTATTAAAAAACAAGTTTACTCAAAAGTTAACTCGTAACTAATAACTGAACTCGCTAACTCAGTCGAGTTAATGAGTTAACTCGCGAATTTTATAATAATATATGTTGTAATAAAATATTATTTTTAATTATTGATAATTTATTTTAAAAATTAAAATTCAAGTTAAAACTAAGTAAAATTCTTAAAAAAAATTGTTCAATTATAATAAAAAAAATATTTATTGAAGAATGATAACTTATGGTAATTATTTTAGTTTTATACATAGATAGCTTTTATTCATACAAACATTTATCTTGTGTATTGAATGTGATAAAGTTCTGGTAACTATGCACCGGAAAAATAATTATTAGTTAGAAAAATGCTTTTAGATCAATACAATCTTATAATTTTATTCTAATAATAGAATTTTGAAAATAAAATGGAGAATGTAAACTAATTATAATTTCATAAATAAATAAAAGTATTTTTTTATTTTTCAATTTTTATGGTTTTCCATTTCATATATTTGTAGTCTATTATGAAGCTAAATTATTTAATATCTAGACTATTAGACCTAACTTAGTTGTTTAGTACCCTAATTACATTTGAAATGGAGTATTTTCGGCTGCTGGATCATGGAGCCCACTACATCAAAACTAGGCCTTCTATTTTCTAGGCCCTGCACCTCTGCTGTTTGAAACTCGAGGCCTTTTGCTAAAAAACACCACAGATTCTTATTTTTACGTTTTGATTGTATAATTTTTTAATCTCATTATTTAAATTATTTTCATTAAAAATAAATGTGATTATGCCACATTCCAATAAATTTGAATGATATTCTGTTTTTAACTGCGTTGTTCATTATCACAAGAGTTTTTTCATAACCACATGCATTATAATAATCCTAATTAGGAATTACTTCAACTCTTTTTCTTTCTTATTTTGTTTGTTTTCATAATTTGGAGAAAATAGCCTCTGAATTTTATCTATATGAAACATTTTACTATTATATTTCATAATCACATGAATAATTTTAATCCTTCGAAAAATAACTTAACGAAGGTAAATAAATATAATTATTACGAAACTAGACGTCCATTTAATTAAATATTAGGAAATATTAGGTCATTACAATAAAAATACGTTAAAAATAAATATATTAAGTCAATAATAAAAAATATTAGCGTAAAACTCAATCTTAAAAGTTTTATAATTTAATATTAATTTTATTTAAATTAAATTACATTTGTTATTATTAGTTTTCCTTCTTACAAATTTTGTTAAAACTAACAGTTAAATTCAATTTTCCTTTCTTTCTTTAATTTCTATTAAATTTTATAGTTTTAAGAGGAAACTTATTTTATCTTATCTTAATTCACTCTAATAAGAATTAAAAAGCAGTAAATTAAATGGATTAAGATAATATAAAGTTTTAGTATGAAATTCAATTTTCTAAAGGTTTTTCTATATAAATTTATATATATAATCACTTGCTGTTTCGTAATATCATTTTAATATACACAGGTTCATCTGAAAAATGTATATCTCTAATAAATGTATATGTTATAACTTTTATAAATATATTATATTTTTGAAAAATAAATATGTAATCATATTATCATATTTAATTATATATTCTACTTCATAAATACCAATTGATATTACATAGTAAAAGGAATTCTTTATTTTAAACATACGATAACCAATATTGTAAAAGGAAAATATATTTTTATATATTTAATATAAATAATAAATCAGCAAACAGTAATATTTATGTTCAAGTATATATTGATTTTTTAATTTATATGTTATGAAATATATTTTATGTATGATAATAAATATTAAAAATAGATTTTGTTTAACATTAAATTGCTTTAAATGAAAGTTTTATGTATAAAACTTTGTAAGAACTGTTTAAAAACAATAGAGAATATAACTTAGGAGATATGTATTATACAAATATTAACTTTTACAACTTTATTGAGTCAAACTCTGTAGGTAATGGTAAAAATTCCGTCAAAATAATAATAATTAAAAATAAAATAAAATAAAATTAGTAATATGTTATCCTACAAGTTCCATGCATCATTCACTTCCATGACTCCAAATCACCTTGACCGTCACTGAAATTCCCCAAAGTCCATACACATTTGGATAGGCCCATATTCAATTTTGATAGGCCCATACTATGAAATATTTTCTATTCATAAGTATAACTTTTCAAAATAATTTTTTATATAATTATTTAGAACATTTACATAATAGTTAATTAAAACTAAAAAAAATTGAAATTAAGAGATCTGTATAAAATAATTTTTTTTTTAATTTTATACATATGTATATATAGCTACTAGGTTTTATAGATATTACTTTTATATAATTATTATATATTTATAAATTTAATATATGAAAATTCATATAAAATCTCGCAGTTAGAAAATATATTATATTTAATAAATATTTTTTATTGACTAAATACAATGTTAGTATTATGTAGAAAAAAATTATTTATATATACAAACAAGATGTTAATCATTTAATATAACATTAATATTTATAGTCTATATCAAATTTTTTGTTACTTCGAAATATAATTCATAAAAAAATAAATAAATAGAAATAATTAAAAAAATATTCAATTTGAAATAGTTTATAGTTTAATATTTTTATTAAAGATAGAAGTTAAGAGATAAAATTTAATTATTCATGAATATTATAATTAGCATATACTTAATTTTATATTTTAGAATATTTTTACAAAATATCGTTTAGATAATAATAAAACTTGTAATGTTTATTTATATGATACAATATAATATGATGAATATATTTTATTTAATAATTATAATATTTATTAATATTAAATATATCTTTAATAATATAATAATAAACCCTATGATGGAAGAAAATTATTTAAAGTAGGTATTAGCAATCGAGATTTAAACAATAGAAAATATATTTTTGTATATATCTAGGTCCATTTTTAATAATTTAGTTTTCTTTTAATGGTATATATATATATATATATATATATATATATATATATATTCGTACCCAAATTTAATATATATTATTAATATATTTATTTAATTTAACATTTATCGTATATCATAAATATAATATTTAAATATATTATTAAATTTAATTATATTTATTAAATCCTATGATCAATACTGTATTAGAAAATGTCTATACATGTATACACACTAAATTAATGCCATTGACTTATTTATTAATTTTTTTAAGAAAATTTATTACATATGAGTGAAATTTACAGCAAGCAATAAATATTTTAGTGTATAAATGATTATATACATTAAATTTAGATTTTAATTTATATTTCATATGTACATTATATCTAATAAATACAATGTTTAATAAGATTATTATTTTTGTATAATAATATAATGCTACTTTAAAGTACGTATTTAAACTAATTTATTAAACAATGATAAGTATTTTAATGCATATCTCTTAATATTAATATTTTTAATAATTGAATTCCTATATATACGCATATTATATTTAGTAATTTAATAAATATATCAAGTTTCATATTTATTTTTTATGTAATAATCCATGATTTTCTTAAAGTTTGTGTACCATTGAATTTAATAATACTATTAAATATTTTCCATAAACTTTAATTATCATAAAATAAAATATTTGGCAAATTCAATATAATTTCTTAATTACTTTAATTATACTTAATAATAATTTTTTTAATAGATGTGAACATGTGTTTTAGGTTTTGATTTTAATTCTTGTGTTTTTTTATTATAAAAATTATCACTTTTAATTCTAGTATTATATATTTAACTATTTTTATATATAAAAAATATTAAATAAAAATTTAAAGTATGACAAACATATAATGTCATAATATAATATTGATCAGTTAAAAAAATCTTTAAGATTTGTAAATAAATGTTATTTTTGTTTAAAAATAAATATTATAGACTGAAAATAATTATATATTTTGGAGAGATGAAAAAAATATATAAGACTAAAATAAAAATTTACATAGGATTAAAAATTAAAATTGGCTATCTTTATGGATTAAAAAAATATGTAAATTGTTTTTAATATTATAAAGTTTAATCAAGGACATTTAAGAAAAAAATTAACGTAAATGTTAATTAACTTTACCTATATTATATACTACATTAATAACATTAATATTATTTATTAATGTAAGAATCATTATTAAGAGTGAAAATAATAAAACTAATACAACTGAATATTCATTTCATATGACATATATTTATTTATTTATTTATTGATAAATAAAACTGTTACTCTTTTATTAATCTTAATTATATATCTGTTTAATAATACAATAAATAATTTCCTCAAAAAATAATACAATAAATAATATTAATAATACACAATAAAACTCAATATAAACAAATTTCTGGTTATAATCATGAAAACGAACTGTAAATGAATATTTTTGAGAAATTTAGATAATTACACTATTTTATAAACTTATCGGTAAATCTTCATAATGAGAAAAGCATGTTTCTTCTAACACATTTTATAATAAGAAAAGTGTCAATAGAACACATATTATATGTTTCACTCCAACAAATAATCCCAAACCCACTTCTCCAAAATTTAGGGTTTAATGGCTTCCCATACTTCACAAACAAACAAAAACTCAGTTATAAAACGTATAAAAGAAAACATCTATGTATAAAATATATGCATGCTCCAAAAAACTAGTACTATGTTCAAACATGACAATCATATTTGAATTTTATGTGTTGAACTAGGATCTAACACCAATAGCAGAAACAGAGGAAATAACTAAATAGCATAACACGAGGAACATCACAAAGTAAAGGAAAGGGAAGAACCATCAGAAATCATAGGAATGGGCGGAATTGGGAAGAAAACATCACACAATTACTTGAGATTTCATTGCTTCCCAATCAGCCCATTCCCACAAATTCTGATTGCTTCAGTCTCCCATTCCCAGCTCTTTGTTCATTTTATCTTGCAGGTAATGAGTACTGATCCATCGTTTAATCTAATGCCTTTATATATGCATCACTCTCTAACTCAAGTTCTTCACAACAACACTTTACGTAAAGTTAAAGGCTTAAAGCTTCAAGATTCCCCAACACAAAAGTATGGTTGGTATAAAGCATATATAGAAAAGTGGGGTTGTAAGATTACTGACCTCAAACTTATTATCAAGATATACTGTTTATTTGTTCATATATATTGTTGTCTAGAGGACTTAAAGTAGTTCTTAGGTGTGTTATGAGTTATTATTTACAAATATCAATATAGTCATTGTAGATGTGATGCAAAGTTGAGGCATTTGTTCAAATGCCTCGTGGACGGGTACCAAACAAAGAAAGTGAAGAACCAGAATAGGAAATCACTTTTCAGGTAACCAATCAAGGATACTTGCGTTTGTAATCGATTCTTTAAAACGTGTGTGGTTCCCCCAATTTCTCCACTTCAACAATAATAAAGTGATTCTTTCTTTTGCTGTCTTGTTTCATGTGAATTTCTTTTTTACTTTTTATTCTTCTTTCCAAGTTACCCTAGGCTGTTCAATGTCTAATTTGTCCACTTTTTAGTGCGTCATACATAAAAATGATTTTGATTGAAATCACCACTGCTTTTAAATCGCTGAATGAATTAATTTGAATCACATTTTGTTATCATATATGTTTTTAATCAAAAAGTTTCGTAATTAATCAATTTTCTAACTTTTAGACAGATAAGATTCTATCACAAATGTTCACTTTTGTATTGCCTAAAACGGAGCAAGTAACGCAAAGTTCATCAGCAATAATCAATCTTACATGGCAGAATTTCTAGGAGAACCCCTCTCTGCGACTAATGTTTTGTCCGAATTGTTTAGTTGATCATACATGAAGATGTCGAATTATTTTAACACGATAAAATGTTTACAATAACAGAAAAAAAAAAAGGAGGGGATGGAGGTATCATTTGATGAGAATTAATAATGTAAATTACTCTATAGTTCCGCAAGAAAAGACATTGTTTTAAAGTACACCATGACTTCATTCGCCACCCAAATATACCAAGTTCACTGCATTATGACAAAACATTAATCTTAACGTTGCATCAAATATATGAAAGAAGGAAAATGAAAGGTTATTTTGCATTGGTGTACAAATATTACCTTGATATGAAAATTGTAAGGCAATTGATCTGAAGGAATAACAAAGGGAGACTGCATCACGTTGTTAGGTTGAATAAGCAGTTGGTTTCCTGCCTCCAAGTCCTATGAAGTAAACAAAAGGAAATTTCATCAATTTAACTAAACAAATCAACCCATTAGAATAACAATTTTTCTCAGATTGATTTGAATTTAATAGATGACAGAAAGTTATGCCATAAAGTTACGTCATATATGTATAAAATTAAATCCAGTTTACTGCATACTTACCCTGCCCATATCCATCACATTCATAGGATTTCCTATAAAACCAGGTGTTTCAGGAAGGGCAGTTTGGCTTGACCGTCTTTCTGCAATGTTTCCAGCAGCATTCTCTTCCGGCTATAATAAATGTATCAAAACTTCAAATAACACCTTTTCCAAAACTGAATAAAATAACTTATGTGTTTGTCTACCCATAATAATCTCTATAAACTATCAATTTTTATCACAAACACATAAATAACTGGCTAAGTTTATCAAATAATCTTAAATCATAATAACACCAAATCTCCCACCCAATTTTATATCATATGTGCTACAGAGGAAACTCCAAGGCCTTGTTTTCTTTCTGGTAGTAGTGCTAAATAGTAACTGAAAAGAGTACTTTTGACACATTCTTTAACATTCATCATTTGATACATTCTGTGCTATCAGTTAAAATTTGCTGATAAAAACAAAATCAAGAATTCCACTGGCTGTGACAAAGACAGATCTGCTAGAACGAGTGCAGTCATACAGTCTTTCTTGCCCCCCAAGGGAGGGGCAGAAGGGGGGCAAGTCGATTGATCCTCTATCGCATAAATTTTGTAATTTTCAATGAAATTCAACCAATACTAAAATGTGTTATACAGGTATTTCTCTGCAACCAGCAGTTGTTATTGAATGAATATAAATGGAAAGTGTAACTGAGAGAAGAAGAAAAGAATGAAGGTACCTCAGCACCATAAGCACAGAAATGTTGGAGGTTATATGGAACAATACCAGTGAGGAAATGCATGGCATCATTCTGCATAATAACCTTGGCAACGTCACAAGGCTGCACAGTACTCTTGTTGCTCTCTTCAGCACGCATCCAGGCACGAAAAGTGAGCTCCTGGATGAAAATCTCACACGCTTTTGACATCAGCATGGGAGTTTCAGCACTGACCATCTGTTTACCACACACAGCCCATCATCAGGTGTATGTTTTCTCAATCACATATTGTAATCACAACAACGTTGTTTAAAAATAATAACAATTATAAACTCATGACTTTTAAGGAGTATTGATCAATTAACTCAAAGATCATAATGCACTAGTTACTCTGACCTTAATGTTGGTAAGAAAATGTAAAATAGTCAACAAACACTCTGTTTAATGAGTGGTATAATATTGGAATTCTGGGTATCAATTATAAACTAACAATAAACACTACACAGTGTATGAGGTAGAATCAAAATCATAAACCTGCACATCTCCTTCTGTTTTCATGATCCTTCTGATTCGAGCTAGCGGCAACTTGTGCTGGCTCTTAAATGCTGCCAATTACATCATAGGAAAACATATATCGCATTAAATCAGGTTGTTAATTTATATCTATTTATGATTTCATTTGAATACAATGTAACAGAGAGAAATGTTAAAAGTATATTACTTTTAATATATTATTATTAGTTTCTCACTATACATCAATAGTATCACAGTTCTAAAAAAATTAATATAAACCTTCGGCAACTTGAATATCCAACAACTGCTTCTCCCAGAAGGATCGAAGCTTCTCCTCCTGCTCTTAGATGAAAAGAAGATATGGTTTAGAAAATAAAAAAAATTACCCTTTTCAATAAAAACAAGTCCTGAATACAAAGTATATTCATTTAAAAATAATTTATCACGATCAAGTCTATTTAACTTTAAAACAAACAAGTGTGGGTGATCGAAGCAGAAAACGCAGTGACTTTACCTCTATGTTTTGTGGACGATATTGAGGCATTGGATAGGAGGGTATTGACATGGAATTCGACAGCACATTTGTTGAAGCTGAGTTACTGTTGAAATCCAACGGTGGTAGATTGAAAGAGTTTCTCCGCTTAATTAGGCAAGATAAATAAATAATTATTTTTTAACAAAATAAGCAAATGCGATTAAAACAACGTAATTGGAGTGTAAAGGAAATCACTTCACCTCTCTATCTTCTTCTTGATGATATTGAAGTATAGGACAAGAGTGCACTAACATAGAATTTGACACCATATTTGATGAAATTGAATTTCTATCAAAATCCGTTGCTTGATTATAATTACTTCCCTGTTTCAATATGAGAACAATTCTTTAAATTAACATGAATCTATATTTTTCTCATTTTTCTATTTATTTTTTAAATAATCATACTTTTATACTCACTATTTTTAAACACCTCATTATCATTTATTTCTATCTTTCTTCCCTGTAACACTTATAAAATATTTTTTTTCTTTATTTAGTATTTTGAATGTCGTTTTTATTTTGCAAAAGTGCATTAGCAACTTAATGAATTGTCATGCAATTACTTTTTCTTAAACAAAATTTTGGATTCACATACATCCCAACCATCAAAACAAAACCTTTGAAATTAAGGCATGAATACGTATATACAAGACTAAAAACAAAAGACACGACTTAGTAAAAACAAAACTGAAACGCAGTTTAATCTTAAATCTTTTGGATATATATTTTTTTTCTTTTAAGATGTTTTTATCCATTTAATTTTTAAATTTAAGGTAATATTATCTTTTTAAACAATGATAATTTACAATCTAAAGACGCAATTTTGAACTTTTTATATTAATTCAAGATATAAAATTCATCTCATTAGATTCACTTACATGAAAACTATAATACTCACTAACCATTCAAACAACTTAAATAAGCTAAAAACACAGTGAAAATCAAGTGAGAAGTGAATCTTATGAACAATAGAAAAAAAAGTAAAATGTTTAGCATTCTTTGTTATTCGTGGAACTCACTTTACACGCTAGTTTGATTTCATTAATTTCATGTAGATGAATGTAATGAAACACAAAGGATTACATCAACCTTAACATACCACATTCTTCTTGATAATTAATTCATACTAACCAAAAATATAAATGAAAGAGTGTTTTTTTTTTTTTTTTCAGAAAAAAGCGGGTGATTAGAATAATAAATTGGCCTTTAGAAGAAATCAGTGTACCTGTCTATCTTCTTCACCATACTGAGGCATAGAATAAGAGAGATCTGAGATGAAATTTGATACCATATTTGATGAAGCTGAATTGTTATTGAAATCGAATGGAAGAATGAAATTGTTTGCCTGCTCAATTCGTTAAAATAGTTCAATTTTTTTTTTCTTTTATGGAATTTGTTAACAAATTTGGTGGAACTAAATTGCTACTGAAATCCAATGGTAGATTGAAATTGCTTGTCTCCTTAATTTGTCATCAAGATAATTTTTTCTTTTAGGAAATAAGCATATGCGATTGAAACTTGTAAACAGAGTTTAAATGGAATGAATCACTTCACCTCTCTGTTTTCTCGAAGATACTGAGGCATCATGCAAGAGGGTGTCGACATGGAATTTGTGAGCAAATTTGATGAAACTAAATTGCTATTGCAATTCAATGGAAGATTGAAATTGTTTACCTGCTTAATTTTTCATTAAGATTGAACAATAAGCATGGTTGATGATAAAACATGTAAAACAGAGTTTGAATGGAACCTCTTGACCTCTCTTTGTTCTTGATGATGCCGAGACGTTGAATAAATGGGCATCGACATGGAAATCGGCAACAAATTTGGTGAAACTTTGTTGAAATCCAATGGTACATTGAAACTACTACTAGCCTGTTTAAGTTATCATCAAGGTAAATAAAAAATTAACAGTGATGTTTAAAACATTTAATCAGAGTTTGGATTGAAAATTTTCACCTCTCTATCTTCTTGATGATGATACAGAGACATTGAACAAGATGGTATCAACACAGAATTTGGTAGCATGTTTGGTGAAGCTGAATTACTGTTAAAATTCATTGATCCATTTATCAAACTAATAGTTAAGAAACAGTTCTTTTGTATAAGATTATATCTAATTTTCCTTTTTATTATTTCAATTCTTTTATTAATTACATTGATAGATTGAAATTAATTCAAAGTTAACGATGAAAATACAATTCTTTAAATACGTTTGAACGTATTTTTCTTACTCCTTTTACTAATTCATTTTTGTTCAATTCTATTGATTACAATTCAGAAAAGTATCAAGTACATTTAATGAATTAAAATATACTTGGTTTAAGTAGTACACAAATTATTATTTTTTTAAAATAATGTTTAAAATTTAAATTTTATAGATTTGCAAAATATCTCAACAAAAATAAGTTTCATCCAATCATGGATTTTTTTTTTAACTAAATTGTCTCTTATAAAAGAAAAATAACTATAATTTTTAAAAATGCATATAGTGAAGAAAAAAAAAGAAAATTAGCAATGAGTGTGTGGATTTAAAAAAGGACATAGGCATTAAATGCATGTAAATACTTATTATCTTGATTTGCATTTATTATTTACCAAAACATTAATTATATTTATTTTCCTGAGTGTGAAGTGAAAATGTGGAAGTGCCCCTAATATTATTGGCAGAAGTGCAATAATATATTAAATTCGCCAACAATAATTCATTTAAAAGATTAATATATAAATCTAAAGTTCCCTCACACGCATTAAAAACAAGAAAATATATTTCAATTTTAAAATCAATTTTATTAAAATATTCTTACACTTTTAGTAATTACATTATTTTATTAAAATAAAAATAATATTTAATTTAAGGATAATTAGAAAGAAAATAAAGTTGATAGGTAATTTAAAAATATGATGGTTATGTTAAACAAAACTAGATGGAAGTATATGATAGTTGATAATGGATAATTGTTAAACTAATTTATTAAATCATACAGTTTATATGAAAATTATGGGTTCAAGTAAGAAAATGTAAAAAAATAAATATGTATATATTTGTGTAAGTTTTTATCTAAATTTTATTTTACCGTTAAAAATATAATTTGAGGTGTTTGTAATCTTACATTATTTATTTTATATCTTATTTTAAAATATTTTTAATCAAGTTTAAAATTAAGTAAAATGTCCTTAAGTAGATGTAGTATATTTTTTTATATTAAGTAGTGTATTGGTTAAAAATGAATATTTAAACATAAAACTATTATAAACTTATAGAAAAAAATCTATCATTATAATTTTTTTGAATTATAATGTTGTTAATAAAATAAATATCATAAGCAATGTTATAATTAAAATAATAATAGAACATGAAATATTTAAAACTATAAAAAAAATCAAATAGACAAATAGTTTATCTTATTTAAAGAAATAACAAAAATGTTTAATAAATATTTTAAGGGTAAAAAGAAATAAATATAAAAAAGTAGAAACTAGCGTTTTTCAACTTTAGTTAGTCCTAATAACGTCTCAAAAAAATGTTAAAAACATTGTTAGGTTACTTCTATAATAGTCTAAAAAAATGTTAATAACTATTAACAAAATTATTTATAAATATTCCTAATTAGACTAAACAATTATTTCACATAGTAATAATTTGTGTTAATCCAAAATAATTATTAATTAATTACAAAATTAAAATTTTGAAAATCAAATAATTCATCAATACATTATGTAGTTGTTGACTGTTCCCCAAAAAAGTCTAACTATGATCAAATAATAGATAATATTGAACAAATATTTTTATATTATAGAATACAATTAACTGAAAGACGAAGTCAAATAAAAATACAGCCATTCAAAGTTAGATAAAAAATAACATAAAATATCGTATTAAATGTTTCATAAAATATAAACTCATTAATTTTAATTAATAGAATAAATTTTGAGTTTTTTCTTAACTATATTGTAATGTTAGAATAAATTTGCAGGGACTAAAATATGACTTTGTTCAATGTTACAGCTATTTCCCCACACATGTATTATTTCAATTTTTTTTAAATCTTATATTTAAATTAGATGAACATGAAATTAACATCACATTTATCAGATTTTAAATTGTAATATAAAATTCCTAGTATTGCTATCATTTATTAAAAGACGTTTATTTAACTAAAAATATTTAAAATCCATAATTATTTCAATAATATACTCATCCTGATTTGATATAGGTCTTATAATATCATATAAATTTCAATTTTCAACATAAATTTTTTCTCACTCAAAGATTAAATTTATTAAAATAAAAGTTTAATTTAAATGTGTAAATCTTGCTTCTAATTGATGGTTAAAATATTACTTTCATTGATTTTTTTAATCTTTTTCCTTGTTTCATATTAACTTAAAAATAAAATGTGTCTCCATTTTCATTATTTAATTTCCATTGGAACAAGCGAAAACGATAAATAGTTTTCTTAAGATGAAGGATTGACGCAATGTATGTTCAACTATTTAAATTTCAATGGTTGACCCATTTAAATTTCAAAGGTTGATCCATATGGCATAGGTGTGGTTGTATAGTGCAACAAGGAATCCAAAACTTGATATTTTTTTCTTTATATACGTATAATTTTTTATGGATTATTTGTTTTAATTAACAAAATCAAACAAAGGCTAAATCTCTTTTAATGCATTCGAATTTTATGTTCGGTTGAAATTAAATAAATAATAAATTGTATTTTATAATTCTGAATATATATATATATATATATATATATATATATATATATATATATATATATTTCAATCCCTAGCTAGTACCTGACGTGAAATCAACTATCATACTCAAGAAAATATTTAAAAATTTATAAAATATCAAGTGGATATTTCGATAATTAGATTTATCATATTAAAATTAAATTCAACCATTTGCCTAAGAAATAAGTTTGATAATTCACATAAAACTACTATTACCTTTGATAATCCATAAGAATAACTCTTTTTTTCTTTTCTGGCATGTGAAGTGAGTAAATAACATGATAGATAACATTAAAGTGAAATTAGCTTCAATTATCCAACTAACAGTGAAAGGTTGAGATTTACTTCGGTTAAATTTACTTTTATTTTCATCTAATAATCTTATATTAGATAGTTTAATAATGAAATATAGTGTTGCATTTTATGATTTTATGATTTTATTATACAAATCATATCTGTAACATTTTATTTTAGTTCAACAATTAATATCCATAATTTAATATACATCAAGATCAACATAACATGACACAAAATAAATAATGAGAAGTTACGTATTCAAAGCAATGACAGAGAGAGTCAAATTATAAGAACTAAAATACAATTTGTTGATGATTCTTCAACATTCTGTTTGAACACAGAGGAAATTTAGGAAGAAAAAAAATGGATAAATCTAAGCCCAAAAAGAAGAAGGATCGAAAACAAGAAATAAAAAAGCTTATTACATGGAATACAATTCATGAGATGCAACCAAGGCCTTGGAAATCTCGAAAATGAGTCTGGCCTCAAACGCATCACTCTTGTAACCCTTGGACACTTGACGATCAATCTTAGGAGTCTTTTTGTTACCAAAGATGTTGTCGGTGATCATGGATCTCAACATGAAGTTCATGTAAGCATTTTTGAGCTTTGCCAACATCTTCAAAGGTGACCTAACCATCCATGTCAACTTTGGAACTGCCTTAATCCTCCATTGCCTGCGTGGGCTTCTTCTTAACCTAATCGTCTTCGTTTTCCTTTCACCGGTGACCGCGGCGGTGCCACCGCTGTCGAGACGTTGGTAGCGCCGCCTTCTAAAGTAACCCTTGATGCCACCATAAGTTGGCTTAGGCAATAGCGACTCGGTTTCCATATTCATATTGTAAAGGCTGAGGAAGGAGGAGGAGAAGGTGAGGTTTTCTTCTCTTATGGAAGTGGTGATTTTTATGTTAGAAATTGCACCTTGTTGTGGGATTTAAAGGGATAATTGGCTTTTATAAAACAAAGTCAATAAATTACAGTTTGACCAGAAAATTGTGGGCGTGTGATCATGGAGTCAACATGAAAATCAATTTCCTTAATATTAATTTTTTGCCAATAAATGATTCCTCCCTCTACTATAATAAAACCACCTTTAGACATAATCAACACTATAGTTGTCCATATTGAATTCTATTAAAAAGTTGTTAATCATATATATATATATATATATATATATATATATATATATATATATATATATATATCTTTATTTGTTTATTTATTTTAAGCGAAAGGCAACATATAACAATAAATATATATCATATTTAATATTATTAATTGAATTTAAATTTTATGTTTTTTCTTAAAAATAATCTATAATTTTATTTTTAAAATTTAAACTGAATTTTTTCATATTTTAATATCAAAATAAAACATCATAAAATATTAAAATAAATAATTAATTCATAACAAATAAAAAAATTTATATCAATATTTATATTATACATATCCTAATTTTATAATGATAAAAAAATAAAGAAAAAAATATTTACTATTTTTTATTTTAAAAAAATAATTGTAAGATATTTATTTTATTTTTTAAAATTTTTGTGTATTATTACTGAAAGAAGAAAAAAAAGTAAAAATAAAAAATTGTAACGTTTATATTATAGAGATGAAATTATAATAAAGAAAAAATTTTGAAAAATTAACTAAAAAAATTGTATATTTTTTATGTTGCAAGGTCAATATAAAAGAGAAGAATATGAAAATAAATAAATAATAAAAATAAAAGATAAAAATATAAAAAGATCAAATAAATTTCTGATAAAAAAATTGAAATAAGAAAATAAAATAAAAATAAAAAAAGAAAGAGAAAATAAGTGTACGTAAAAAATCATATAAAATAAATAAATATAATATTTATTATAAATAAAAAATTAAGAAAAAAAGATTATATATATATATATATGAAGTTAATTGGTGTAAGATTTGGTCAAAAGAAAAGTTCCAAACAAAATAATTAAGGCTCTGTAGGAATAAAATGTACAGAGTCTAAGGTGAGTGTGAATGAAAGATATTTGAGGGAAAAGTTAGATTGAAAAATCTTAAAACATATTTAATATTTGTATTTATTAAATGAACTAATGAAACATTAATCGCTGTGAAATGCTCACAGCGATTAATGAGTAGAGAGAGAACTAAAGAAGAGCATGGTTTAACAAATGGAATTTTTTAATGCATGAACTTAGTTTTGATTAATGGTTGGCGCCTTATCCGGTGTACGTCATATTAAATACAAGGATTATGCGTGCAAGTTGCAACCCAAGGACACCATTGCGTTGCAACCACGTGGAAATCGAATCATACTGAACAAAATTACTACATCACCATTATACTAAATAAAAAAAAGGGCTGCATCTAGAAGTTTATATTTATATTCTTGTGTTGAAAACTTGAAAAGTAGCCATCTTTTTCGTTTGCTCATTCATACTGCAAAAGTTAATGGTGTTTTCAGCTGCAGAATGACAATTTTGAAAATCAACGCATTCTTTTGCTTCCATGTTTTGTACGCTATTTCGAAATCTCATATACTTTATTTATTTGAGGATAAGAAAAAATTATTTATTTATTTATTTCATTTTGTTTATTTATGAATGAGAATGTTTCCACGTCATATTTAATAATATATTTGATTTTATATAATAACCTTGTTAAGAATAGATTATCAAGAGTATTGTTTGTTTTAGAAAAAAAAAAATATTCTGATGAGAAAATGGATTCATTTCAAAACATGTTTCAACGTCAAATTGTGGAGGTGTTGGTGAACCCCAACAGGTTAGGATGATAAGTTATTTTTTTAAAACTATATTTGAATTCAATGTAATTCAGATATGATTTACATAAACTAACAATATATATAAAATAACATCATTGAGAAAAAAAAAGTCTTACCCTAGTTAAACAGATTGAATAGTTGGGAAGAAACTATTGAGACTTGTTTTTCAGAGTAACGTAAGCACTGAACTAACATCTACTTTGCTTCTGTGCACCTTGCAAAAATGAATCATCTATTTGTTTTGCTATTTTTTATAATATTTGTTCTGTTTACATATATAAATATAATATTAAAAATAATTGTGTTTCTTTTATGTTTTGGTTGTTTACTTGACTACGACCGAATAGTTTTTTTTTTAATTAAATTCAATTTGATTATTATCTATTCTCACATTATATTTTTTATTAAAATACAAGAAATATCAAATTAATCTCTTTTAATATCTAAGATGACATTTTTATTCCCTGATGTAATTGAATTAAACTTGTCATTTTCTTTTTAATCTTCAATTACATATTCCTAATGAATTAAAAATTAAAATAAATAAACCTAAGCATTTTCTTTTATACGCCAGCCATTTGAATATGGTTAAGTGCACTTGACTTGACTCGCATCTCTAGTAAAATTTAACCACCCAATATTTGAAGAATTAAACAGAAACTCAAAGTGAGAAGAATGATAATGAATATGATGAGTTTTCCTTTCCTCCTTCATTCAAAGTATCAAAAAGCAATTTTCCTACATAATATTCGAAGGAAGATACCAAGTTCATTACTGTGTTGATCATGTTTGTTGTCTCACTCACACCACAACATCATTTATATATGCTCAAAGATCATTTGTTGACATTCTTTATTTATCAAAAGCAGCCACTTATATAATATTGAAACAAAATCGTACGTGCTGATATCATTATTGTCATATAGTTCATGATTTTACCAATCTTAATTATTTCAACAAATCGACATGCGTGTTTATGTTTTCCACTAACAATGATTTTATTATCTGAAATGTTACATTTTTAGAGTAAAGTTTCTCACTTATAAAGTTGTTGAATTGCTGAGACCAGTTCAAGCTAAAATCTTTTCACTATCGTCTTCAAATTGAAGCTGTTCAAAGCAAGAAAATGGAGTTACTATTCCCGAAGGCAACCTACGGTGGCATAAAGAGGTACTTGAGACGGCAGCGCTACCGGCGTCTCCACGGTGGCGCCGCCACGGGAAGAAGGAAGATTGCGATCATCCAATTGAGAGGTCCACGTAGGCAATGGAGAATGAGAACAATTCCAAGGCTTAGATGGGTGCTGAGATCACCATTGAAGATTTTGGCAAAGGTGAAGAATGTTTATATCAACTTTATGTTGAGGATGGCAGGGAACATAGGTGCTGTAAACAGTGATAAGATTTTTGGTGTTAAACGGATTCCAAAGGCTCGTGAAGTATCTAAGAGTTATAGAGGTCAAGAATTTGAGGCTAGACTCGTTTTTGAGATTTCTAAGACCTTGGTTACTTCCTATGAACTTTATCCCATGTAATTCTACTTTCTTCTTCTTCTTCCTTAATTCTATGTTTTCTTGCTTCTCGTTTGAGATTTTCTTTCTTTCAATTATATAAATAAAAATAAGGTTCAAACAAGAGTAATTGATAAATTGATCATTAAGCAAATGAAGTAAATTTCGCCGTTTTTTTTGAGATACTAAGGTCTAAAAAACTTTACAAGGTGTAAAAATGATAATTTTAATTTTTAATAGTTGAAAGGAAATTTTTTTAATAAAAAAATGAAAATAATTTATCTATAAAGACTAAAAAAACATGTTAAAGAGAGTTTTAGGTTTCATGTCGGGCCCCTAGGCAAATCTACAACTTGGAAAGTCCCATCCATCCGCTGCCGCAGGAAGTGAGGTCTGAGCAGAGGAAAGCAAAGAAATGGAAACCAAAGCCGATGCAGACTCTTTCTGGACTTGGAATGCCAACAACAACAACAACCAACAAAACCAATTCTCGGTTACCAGGTTCCTAGGAAACAACAACAAATCCCCCAAATCTCAAACATCTGTGTTGGGTCCTGGCTTCGGAGCTGGCGTCGGATGCGGCGCCGGAATAGGTTTGGGTTTGGTTGGTGGCTTAGGCTTTGGAGGCTGGCCCTTCAACCACCTCCACCTCGTTTTTGGCCTTGGAATGGGTTGTGGAGTTGGTGTTGGCTTCGGCTTCGGTCAAGGCATTGGATACGATTTTAATTTCCGTACCCGTAAGTCTAGAAAGTCCAAGAAAAAATTTTCAGATCCCCACAAAACTATTGTTGTTCAGATTTAATTATTTTATCTTCTTCCAATTTTCATTCTCTCTTTTTTCTTTCTTCTTCTTATGGTTACTGTTGTTGAGCCGTGAAAATTGACGCAATTTTTTTTGTTTGACTACGTACCATAGTTATATATATATATATATATATTTATTTATGATTTTGAAGTGATTTAATCCATGACGAAGCAGTCACATAGTGAAAGTCAGCATTTTTACTTACATGGAATCATCGTTTGGAATACCAAGCTCATATTTAATGGTCAAAGGATGCCTTAAATACACGTGTTATTTTACTTTCTTCCCCTGAGGAACGAAGTGTATGTAGATTATGTTTATAAGATTGTGTTTTCTCTGGTTTGACAAACAGTGAAATCCAGGACCAAATCATTGAAGCACAACATTAGACAAACAAAGAATGTAGAATAAATGCCTAAAACTTAATCTATAAAGAAGCTATTCAACGAGTATTGTTGGTTGATCAAATTGTGTTTTGGATTAATCAATTAATGGACTTTAGTTTAGTTTTATTGCAAGTTGTAATAAAGGTCTAATTAGAAATTTAGTTATCAGTATTTGGGAGATCAAGAAAGTGTATAACTTATTGACTTGTGGATGCCACAATTTAAGTTACAATCAATCATTAAGTAGTTTTCAATTCTAAGGTTAATAAATCATTATTAACATTTATTTTTCTTTAATGAATATTTGAAACTCTGATGGCAAAACTTCTTTATAAGCTGAATCATTTTTATCAGAAATAACAAGTTGAGTTTTATTTTTAGAAATATTAGAATTTATCTCTTTTATCTTAGTGAGAGTGATTCTCCTAAGTTCTTCAGTGATTCAAGAACCCTTGGCTGTATCAAAGGACTTTCACATCTTTTGTGTGTTACCTTCCTTGGAAAGAGTGATTCTTTCCTTCCACCTTCTTTCTAATTCTTAAATTTCTTACAATGTTTTAACCCTAAATATCCTAAATTACCCCTTGTAATTCATATCAGTTCGTATTCAGAGCTCCGGTTTAAAGGTTTGAACATTAAATTGATGGCAGAGGAGGATAAAAAGAGAATGAGAAAAATTTCTTCAAGAAAAGAGAGAAAAAAAGAGGAAGAGGGAAACACTTGAAGTGAAACAGAGCTAATTAACCATAAAAAATGAGTATAATGTTTGTTTTACATTTAATTTGTCAGACTTATCTCTGTTTAATGTAGATGACGAATCCTATTTGAGGACAAATCCTTTTCAAGAGGGAAAGAATGATGTGAACATGACCTATGATAAGGGCTAGAGCAAGGGAAACAAAAGAAGCTCTTCAACAAATATTGTTGGTTGACCAAATTGTGTTTTGGATTAATCAATTAATGGACTTTAGTTTAGTTTTATTGCAAGTTGTAATAAAGGTCCAATTGAAAATTTAGTTATCAGTCTTTGGGAGACCAAGAGGGTGTATAACTGATTGACTTTTGGATGCCACAATTTCAGTTACAATCAATCATTAAGTAGTTTTCAATTCTTAGGTTAATAAATCATTATTAGCATTTATTTTTCTTTAATGAATATTTGAAACTCTAATGGCAAAGCTTCTTTATAAGCGAACCATTTTTATCAGAAATAACAAGTTGAGTTTTATTTTTAGAAATATTAGAGTTTATCTCTTTTATCTTAGTGAGAGTGATTCTCCTAAGTTCTTGAGTGATTCAAGAACCCTTAGTTGTATAAGGACTTTCACATCCTTTGTGTGTTGCTTTCCTTAGAAAGAGTGATTCTTTCTTTCCATCTTCTTTTTAATTCCTAAATTTCTTACAATGTTTTAACCCTAAAGATCCTAAATTACCCCTTGTAATTCATATCAGTTAAAGAAAATAAATACTAATAATAACCCGTTAAACTAGAAATTGAAAATTATTTAATGACTGATTGTATCTGAAACTGTGGCAACCAAAAGTCAATCAGCACCCCTTAGTCTCACAAAGGCTGATGACTAAATTTTCAATTGGGCTCTTATTACAACTTAAAACAAAATCAAACTAAAGCCCATTAATTGATTAATCTAAAACACAATTTGGTCAACTAACAATAATTGTTGAAGAGTTTCTTTTGTTTCCCTTACTCTAACCCTTATCATAGATTATGTTCACATCATTATGTTAGCCATATCCAGAAACAAAGAAACAAAGATATAACGGATAATTTGTCTCAAACATGACTCTTACATACAAATATTCTAAGTTTTTAGAGAAACTAGTGGCTAACTGGGCAGAAACACTTTTTCAGTTGAATGTGGTAGTTCTACAAACAAATATTCTAGGATATGAACAAACATCAAATTTACAAAGAGCAAGATCATTTGATGTACACCTATACCCTTCCAGATTCAACGTCATGCAGTATTGCATTATGATCCCGTGATAAAGATAACCCCATACACCCATGACAACCTTGTCGCTCCTCACTATCAGTATGAACTTCTGATAACTGTGCCTGACCAGAATTTGGAACATTAGGAACTTGGGTCATTCCTCTTGATTCTTCCAACATCCTAAAATATGCATAAGGACCCCAGCCTGCACAGAAAAACAATATATCTAGAACATCAAAGGGTTGACAGTGTACTTCATAAAGAAACAAACATATGAGCATGGCTTAATTTTTAACAGGAAGTTATTTAAGGTGTCCCCTCTAATAGAATCTACGTTGAAGCAAACCTTCAGAATGATAAGGCGGAGGGAAAAACTGCAAATAACAAAATGTAGTCACTGTAAGCCCTGAAAGTAGAAATATTATTTGGTGAGTCAAGTGCCAGCAACAGTGGTAAGTAGTTTTTTAGGCTTACTTAATGTAGAACTAATTGAGATACTAAGGATGGACCAACCTAAAAGACCTCCAGCAAACACATCCTGCCAATGGTGCCAGTAGTCATCGACTCGAGAAATGCCAACAAGTGATGCAAACAGTAGTGGCAGAAAAACAATGCAGAGTTTTGCAACATGACCTCTGCGATCAAATGCTTTTATTTTCCCAGATAAGTACAATGATAAAAATCCGAGACCAGAAAATGACCCTGCACATAATAAATTGAAACTATTTAGAGCAATAAACTACAGACATTTGAGAACGCATGCTTTGAATGAGCTAAACTAATTCCACCATTCGTTTCTATTGAAACAAGAAATTGATGAGCGTGGCAAAACCAGTCTTTTTGTAGACCTCTGTAAAACAGCAGATGGAATAAATGCTACATACATGAAGTATGGCCGCTTGGGAAACTCTTGTATCCTTCCTTTATGACATCCTTTTCACCATGACAGATGACATCTCCCAATTTATCATAAACCTAACAAGAAGCCATTATTTAGAGTAAGCATAATGCATAACTGATAAATATGAATTGAAAACCTAAAGGTAAAAGGCGACATACATCTTTTCCATCTGGAAAACATCGCCAGAAGAAGTCTGGTCGCGGTCGACCTACTGCATTTTTTATTGCCTCGGTAATTACTGCTGTTATTAAAAGGGAGAAAAATAGACCTGTGCCAGCAAACAATCTCCTTAGCAAACAAAATATGCTTGCCAGTAATTAAATGAATGAGGGGTATTTAAAGATTAATACCCAGCACAGCATGATGAAGATCATAGACATCTCTCCTTCGGATATAGACAACAAGAAAGATCACTATAGGCAATAAAACTGCATACATCTAACCATGACAAGATAGTAAATGACAGGATAATCTTCTTCTTGTTGTTGTTTAAGGAAAAAATTCACATATTACATATCTGAAGCAGTTAACTTACGGGAATAGACCAAACAGGAACTGTATTACTCTTCAGGGGATATTTGAGATCAGTCATCATATCCTTCCCAACAAACCGATGGAAAGGATGGATAACGTACAGGCCGATAACAACCAACACGAGAAGCAAGAGAATGAGCCAATCATGTTTGTGTGTTCTCGCAACAGCACATCCATGAGAGCTCACAGTATGTGAACCAAGTTGGACTTCCCTCGTTCTGAAATCCTACAGCTCAAAAAAACCACAATTGAGATTAGGAGTGGCCATAAAAGGAGGTGTTCAACTCTTCAGCAAACAATCAACTTTAATAAGAGTTATCCCTAGTAAATTTAAACTCTGTGTATCTTCATATACTGATAATTCAATGGTCAAGTTATTGAATTGACAACCTAGTAGAAATTTTTCATCAAAATAATGTGAATTAGAGGATTTAAAGAAAAGACAAGTCAATCAGTTCATCACCATGCTAGTGTGGCAAGAAAAAGCAGTAAATATACGATGAATTAGATGGGGGAATTCCTCCTCTAGTAAAATCAAAGAGCATTTTGCTTCACTTATATATATCTCTGTAGCAAGGAGCTCAAAAAGCATCATGAACAGCCTGATTCAACTGCAAGCTGGTTGCAGCAGTTTTAAACTGCAGACAGAGTGCTGTATCGAGAAGAGACTGTTAAATGCCAGATATACTGACATATGAGAACCAGTATTCCTATTCTTAAATGATCATTAACTTGTTTGTCAATTCCTCATCTCAACTCCTTGTGTAGGAAAGAAAGTGAAACAGATTATGTACTCATAATATTTACTTTGAGCCAATATTGTATTGTCATGGTCTAGTCCCAAAAAATCTTCTTTAGTTATTCAAGAAAATCTTATTAAATTGTATACCTCTTCATTCTTTTTGTCTATCAATGGAAAATTAATGGATGAAAAGTGAGCACCAGTAACAGCAGAGATTCCCAGCCTCCTGCTTGATAAATCCTAGGTAACTCCAAAGAAAGCAATATCAAGGACAAATACCATGAAAATACCCTGATTTGCTTTGTTTCTCTTGAAACTTTGGCCTCTTTTTTTGTGTTTGTTCTCAAAGTCACAAGGGATAAGCATTAAACTTAATCAAAGCTGCAAAATATCCAAATTAAAAACCTGGAAAATCCTACGAGTAACATATATACATTTTAAATATCACTGAAATTTTAAGTAGAATCAGCAAGAATCCCAGCATCTCCGGCTACATATATGCAACAGCATTTGACCATCACAAAAATGTAAACATTAATCAAATCAAAACACAAAGATCAACTAGTTTATGATTATAGAAAATCGCCACCAAAAAAAAAGAATTTAATCTCCAATAGTAAGCTTCAAACTCAAGCCAGCCACACAAAAAAACAGATTATACAGCTTGCTCAAATATAAATGAACGAGAAAGCACAATGAAACTATCCTAAAGAAACAAAAGGGACTAAGACAGGGTAAAGCATTGGTTAACATGAAAGCTGAGTTCAAGAGTTACGAGCTGAAATCAAGAATTTAGTTATCAAATCAGCCGCAATAAATTAAAAGAACTGATATGATTAATAAAAACACAGCAAGCCAGCATTAGCTTAAATCACTCAGGGCCTTCCTCTGGTCCAATTGCTAACAGTTGCAACTATGACTTTTCCCCCAGTCTATACGTCCAAAAAGGCAAACAAAGCACTAAACAGGGCAAACAAGTTCCAAAAAGGCAAAAAAAAAAAAGCATTAATACAAACTATGGGCATGGACATGTCTGTAACCACAAATAGAACATATAAATACTAGATAAATAAAAATATCTAAATCTATAAATGTTCTATTTTGGAAGAAAACATTATGTCACCGACTTAACTGGGACGCAAAGAACACGAAGAATGTGTCCATATAACTTGATTTCTGATCAAGAGAAGGGAGGATAAAGCTTAACAAAGATGAAGATTACCTTTATCTTGGGCTTCAATTAAATGGTACAGAACAACGATTATCACAGAGATCCATCCATCCATTCATACTTAATAACCATTAATACAACTTCAAAAGCTTAATTTTTACAAGTTTGAAACAACATTCAACATATAATAGAATAAGCGTGCGTATGACAGGGAGGAAGAACAGAGCTGAAAAAGATATATGAAGCGCTGACCTGAAAGAGGGTTCTAATAGACTGAAAACCAAAGAAGGGTCTTAAATCCCACCAAGAAGCCATTTTGTGAAATGAAAAACCATTCAAAGAAGTAGACAGAAAGATTGGGAATTTCAAGTAAGTGATTGAAAAGAAGAAAAAAGTGAAGGGGTTACAGAGAATAATAGCATATGTAATGAAAAAGGTGTGGGGAATTTCAATTTCAATTTGTGCCCACACGGGAAAAGATGAGGTGAGAGAAACTGGGTTAGGCCACTCTCATTCGCATCATGCAAATTATTGGTATGCACTGGCCGTCTTGTGATTAAAAAGACAAGAAAACGAGGTAGTGAGAGATTAATGTGGCTCCTAAATTATTGCATTTTTTGTGTTTTAATAAACTTATACGAATATCCATTGATGTTAATTGATCTTCTTTTTGGCAGATTGAAACCTGTAATTGTCCATTAATTCTTCTTTGTTACTGTGAAACTTTATAACTTGAGGTTTTTATAAGTCTTAAAGATAATTATTACCCTTCCCTCATCGTACTTAGCATAATTCATACCTTTTAAGGATTTTTTTCTTAACTGAGTAAAGTTACTATATCAATGAAAAAGTTACAGAAGAAAGGAGAATGGGTTACCGTACATTAGACAGTTGTTATTAGAGGGAGATTACCACTTATTATTTATGACTTTCTATAAATACAGTTGATTAAAAAGTTGGTTTTTTGATATATTATTTTATTTTATTTCAGATATATATAATTTTATTTGTTACAACCAATCAAATTATATAAAATTAAGTTTATTGTGACACTTAATTATGTGTTTGATATGACGATTTTTTTTTTTGTGATTTTTCTTATTTTAAAAATCAATATTAAGAATTTTACGTGCATTTACAGATGAACAAAGCAGATTATTAAATTTATTAAAAAACAACTTTTTTTCAATGAAACCTCTTGTCCATTTCTTCACCTACCTTTCATTCTCAACAATCAATGCAACCTTTTTGAACGAGAGACGAGGAAGTCTTATAATTTGATCTTCTAAAAAATTGTACTTTACCACTTGTATATGTTTAATAAACTCTTTATATACCCTTTTGGATTGGTTTGTCAAAAAAAATTGCAGCTACAGTGAAATTTCCAATGTTGATGCAGGGTGTCAGCATACTAGAAGCATCTTTTACCCCGTCATTGGCTATAACAACTGGCCTGAGCACTATATACTGTAAATTTAGATTTAGGATCAAGGGCTTAAAGTTAATCAGAATTATGGAGAACATCAACATAACTTGCTCATAATTATAAAGAAATTGATTGCAATGTACTCTTCTGAACTGTTATTAGTAGAAAATTGTTGGAACCATGATTTGTGGGTCACATCTTTTATTCAACGAGCATCGCTCTAGTCTAAAGATTGTAGTCATAGAAGTATGATTGTTATGTTTACATAAATAAGTCTTACACACATCTGAAAAATATTCTTTAAGATGTACAGTTGAGATAAAGATTCATGATGTAAATTTCTACCAATATCGAGTTAGATGTTGTGGATTCAATCACATCATCACGAATGGAATTTCGTTGTGTTAGAATAATTTTTCGATCAAATTTATCGGTGAGTTCCAAGTTCCAACTATCAGTGGCATGTAATTTTATTGTACAAAGATAATCTCTAATACTCTTTCGATTAAGGAGTCTAGCATTCCAAGTATCATCACACGCGCCGATCATCAATTATTTTCTACAACTTCAAAGTTAAAAAGTCTTTGAGAAGTAAAATCCTTTATCCTTGATATGGATAGAACAATGATGAGGAACACTTGAGCCATGTGGGAATGATATTGTGAAGAGGGAAGAAGGGACACAGAAAGAACAAGGGTTCTGTGACGTGAATTACATGTGACAGTCACTAAATTATAGCAGTGAACGATAAAAAGAGTCATCGTTATCACTGTTTCTAATTTGAGATCACTAGTCTATGTATTCCTAGTGTTTCTCTTGCCTTTAAAAAGCTTTGCCAAATTTGGTATTACCTTCTTTCTCTTCTTAATAGTAAAAGGACTGATAAGCCGAACTGCAGGTGAAGCATTCTTCTGAAACTTTGCTCCCCTTGCAGGTGTTATACTACCATTGAGTTTGATGCTTTTTCTAGACATGGCTCTGGGGAAGTTCTTGGATGAACTCTTCTCTCGTTTTCTTGGCCAATTGTCAAACTCCTCACTACTAACTCTTCTTGAAAGCAACTTCTCTTTGGTGTAAACCTCCAGTTTTGTTTCTTTGAGTTCTCTCTGAGCAATTTTTGTTTCGATCAGTATTTCCTTCTCACTGGCCTTCAGAGCTTCAATCCATGCCTCTGCTGCTGCTACTTTTTTATCAGCAATTTCTTCTGCTGAGGCTGCATGGTTTTTTAGATACTCATACTCAAATCTTGAGATGGTAATCGAGGAACTATGCTGTGCTGTTAAAGCTCTTTCTCTCATGGTAGTTTCAGTTAGAGTTTTGAGCTTCTCCAGGGCTAGAGCTTCAGAAGCTTTGGCTACTTCTAGCTCTTGCATGACAGCTTCCAATCTTTCCTCAGTCATGTCTATTTGAAACTCAACTTTTTGAATCTCTTCCTTGGTGGCTGTAACCTCTTGGCTTATATGCTCATTTTCCTTTTTTGCTTCTTCTGTTTCTGTCTTGAGCTTTTCAAGGGTATGAGACAGACTCGTGACTATGGATCGGGCCTTTTCCTCTGCAGCAGACACAGCTTCTAATTTAGACTTTGCTCTCAAAATCTTTGAATTGAGATGTTGAACTGTTGAATCCACTTTTCCTTCATTCTTCCTCAATCTATCTGTCTCAGCAGTGACATGCCTCAGCTCATTTCTTATGACATCCATAGAGGCCATAAACTGAAAACCTTCTTCTTTAACCAAAGCTAATTCTTTCCTTGCTGCCTCCAATTCTTCTGTTATAGTCCGTAACAGTAAAAAGTCTACTGATTCGTCCCTTTTGCTGAAACTTTCTTCCAAGTGCTTCGTACTCCCATCTCCTTGAACCCTTTTCTCCATTTCTTTAGCTGCCTTCAACTCATTTTGCAATAGATCAACATCTGATATTGTTACAGCCAATTTCATTTCAAGTTCCTTTGATTCATCAATCTCTTCAATGACATCCTTCAACTTTTTCCTCGCGCTTTCCAATTTGAATGAATAAACGTTTACTTCCTGTTCTCTACGGGCTTCTATATCTGCCAGTTCTTTTAAAGCCTCAATCCTGGCCAGTTCAGCAAGTACTTGTTCCTCATTGGCCTCCTCAATCTCCCTTCTAAGTTCTTCTGCAGTTGTTAAACACGAGAGCATCTTCGAGTTTGATGCTTCCATTTCCTTCTCTGCACGTGATTTTTCTTCCAACACAGAAGACACATCAAGCTTAAGCTTGAACAACTCCTTTTTGAGATATTCCAACTCTCTCATGACTTGTGCATACTCATAACTCTCATTACTCTTCGTAACAGCCATTGCCCCATGTTGGCCCTTCCCCCTCTTCTCTAGTCTTTCTACATCTCTCATTTGTGTTTTTGCATTGAAACTTGACTCCTCAATCATAGAAGAAAGATGTTTCACTGTCTTATTTGCATTCGAAAGATCAGATTCCGCTTGAGCTTTTGCAGATTCTGCAGTCCATTTACTCTCTTTGTACCTTCCAATATCCCTTCTTGCTCTATGGAGTTCCCTTGTTCTTGAAGAGGGCTTCTGAGAATCATGTGAAGAAAAGAAATGAAAGAAAAGAATAAAGATTCAATAATAGAATGCCTCAATAATTCACAAATTGCAAATACTTGAGGGGTTGCTTCAGTTTCTGACGCTGAACATACCTTATCATCATAAAAGTTAACGGCAGCCTCAACTGATCCAACTCTTCTGCTACCAAGCTCTGCACCATCCATCTGCTATTGCCAAAGGTATTAGCAATATTGCCCAACACTCTAAGTTTAATTCAGATAATCATAACTATTCATTTTCAGTTTGTTCCAACATACTAGTATCAATTTAACAAACACCAACACAAAAAAATAAATAAATTCTTTCTGCTACCGAAAGTATGAATCACTATGTGACATCTAAACAGTGATATAGGAAAACATAACAAAGGAAGCAAGTGCATATACCAGAGACTGTGCTTGTTGGTTGGTGAGCTGAAAATCTAAAAAGTAAGGCAAAATTTGTGGTTGAGAGTTCTATGCTCAAATGGCCAAACCAAGAACGTGTGTAACAAGAAGAGGGAGGGAGTATCAATGACTGGCTGGTTTTGGAATTGGACACATCGCTTCTTGTCGTTTTCTGATTTCTTTATAGATTTTTCTCGTTTCATTTTCAGGTCCCAGTTTTGTTGTTTTTTCAAATATTTCTTGGACCACCAACTTTTCATCTTCACTCGTTTGTATCTTATCTTACAGTGGTAGTAAACTTCCTTGTTGGTGCCCTCTAATGTTTTCTTCCAGCACAACAAATTTATGAGAGCAAAGGTACTATAAAACCAAGTCTTATTTTGCTTTTACTTGACATAAAGTTCACATTTTCATAATTTGTTTATCTTTAAGTCCTATACTATATTATAAGAGTACTCCTTCAATACTAAAATAATTAATTTAGTTTGAATATTTTAAAATCCATTTATTTGTTCTACAAACTATGTTCAAGATAGTAGTTTCTAATAATGTTGAATTGCCTAGAACTAAGTTTGAATATTTTAAGAAAAATATCAAACTTGGGACTCGTAAATAAAAATGGACAAATCATTGATTGAGAAGAAAAATCTCAAGTGATTAAAATTGTTTTAACAAGAATGAAGCAAAAACAAAATTGACATATATTTCAAAAATGATAAAGGGTTATAGTGACAAACAAATAATTTATAAAGGGAACGTCAGAAAATGAAGATAAGTTTAAATGAATGCCCTGAAAACCATTAAACATAGTTGAAGCTGAACAATTGTCATACCTTTAGGATGTCTTGTATGAATCTATCAATCACACACACAAACACTTTCAAAAGTTGTCCTTACTTAGCTTATTATTAACCTTGCCACAAAATATCATTGGCCCAAGTATTGGCCACATCTTCAAATGCAACACCATCAAACTTGGTCTCTTCCACGTAATGCAATATAACTACCAGCTGGCTAAAAATTAATATTTGCAGGTAGCCGGTCCCATCCACCACTTGTACTATTATTCCAAACCCTTCTCTATATTATAAATATCATTATTTATAATAGCTTAGTCATTTTATTCTATATATATTATAAACCAAAATCCCTTCTACAATAGAAATAGTAAAGGACTTGTTGTTAATAAAACTACAGCACATGCACTGAGGAACAAATGCCATTAATTTTGTACCTCACATCTTGGTCCATGCGATTTCCATCAAAGGCCTTCAACAAGTCCAAGTAGATGTAACCATTTTTGAAGAGAAATTGAGTGTGTATACTATATCATAAACAAATAGGGAAAAATGTTCAATCAAAATAAACGTAATTGTGGAGTGATAACAAAATTACAATGTTGTAAATTTTGATTTCTGCAATGTACTGAATAAATGAACTTAAAACAGGCAACATAATTTATTTTTTATTTTTTACCAGTACATAGCAAACATTAATTCGTTTGAGCAGGTGTTCAGCAATTTATTAAAAGAAAAAAAAAATTTACCATGCGAGAAGTCGCCTAGGTAGCAGCAGGGTTGAAAGTTGAAAGGAAGACACGATCTGACTCACAGTGTCGTCTTCGATTCAATGGCCTCAGATCAGACACTAAGCGATTCAGAGAGGGTTTTGATCTGAGGATTTCGAAAGAAGGAGAAATGGACGTCGAAAGATCGTCACTGTGCAATTGCGTGGTGAACTTCCTGTTGGAGGAGAATTACGTGCTCACCGCATTCGAGCTTCTTCACGAGCTTCTCGACGACGGCCGCGACAACCAGGCCATTCGCCTCAAACAATACTTCTCCGATCCCTCTCTCTTTCCACCTGATCTCATCTCTCGCCTCAGCTCTCTCCGAGGTCGTTTTTCTCTCTTTTCAATTTGCTCGCGGTTTTTCAATTTCCTCTGAATGAATTCTGTAATGCACACTCCTTCACTGCTCCAATTTACGTTTTCTAATTTTCGGCTCGTTCCGGTGCTGGTAAACTGTAGTAATGGATGTATGTTTGTATGAATGAATTATTATGCTTATATTAGTGAATGATAGGTATTTTGTGCATTTTTCAGACGGAATTATGCATTAAGTTTGAAAATTAAGATAGATCTTTAAAACTGAAAACTATAATATGTATGGTTGATTAGAAGCGAGTTTCAATTTGGAATGGAGGAAGCAAAAGTACAAGTTAAGAACGATTGATGTCTTTTTCTTGAGGGAGATTAGAATCATAAATTAAGTCATTCACAAGTACATGTGACATTTAGGTATGGATTAAAGGTGGCATATATCTAATGTACAGGGTCATTATATGCAATATACACTTTTGGTTTCGTTGATATAGGCTTTGTTTTTGTCTGTCGTACAATCTGTGGGGAGTTGAGCAACTTATAGGAGGTAAAGTACCTTTAGAGGAATATTGTATCTATTACTTATGAGTTCTGATATATTCCCTTCTTCATTTTCATTTTTGCAATGCAGTGGCTGATCCTCAAACTTTGCTTGAAGAGAAAGAAACAGCAGTAGAAAAGTTAGCTATTAGTGATTATGAATTGCGTTTGGCTCAAGAAGACATCTCAAAACTCAAGAGTGAATTGCAGAAGAAGGCAGAAAACCGTAATGAACTAAATGGTACTTTTCTTGTTATTGAAGACATTTAGATTATTTTTAATTTGTGTTTTCGAATTGGCCTTCTCTGTCATATGTATGATCATGTTGAAGGCCTTTACTTATGACGATTTGTTGGATTTTTACCATATGCTCTAATAACATGATTCTGGCATGGAGAGAGTATTCAAGGAAGTTGCATAATGAATTGTATTCAAATTGTGTAAGAAATGGTAGTCTACATTCAAAAGGCTGTGTATGACTTGTTGAACAAATCATAGTGGGCTGGTGCACATTTTGGAAGAATAAATGATGTAATCATAAAACTGAGTGACTTGAAGTTCCCCTACATGTATATGTGTTGCAAATAATACTTCTACTTTGCCGAGTATCAGTTCTTGTTTAATCTTGGTTAATATATTCCCAAAATCAATATTTAGCTGAATCAAACCCATCTGTAGTTTGTTGACACTCACTAACTTTTGGCTAATGGTGCTATTTGGCTTTGTTGGAGGATATCTTACATGCTCGATCCTGCTCTTCTTTATTTCTCCACTTTTGGAAATTCTTATTTTCTATTAAGAAATAGTACAGCTGTGAATACTTGAGATTTTCACTAGTTGTAACTTTATGATAATTAATTTTTCCATGCTTTTATTTTTTATCAGCTGCAACGATAAGTGGACATGTTTCAGTGAATGACGAGCAGAAAATTGAACAAAAGAAGAAATCTTCTTTCAGCAATTTGGGTCCATTAAAAGAAACAGAACGTCAGGATCTTAACTGTGCTGTAAAGGAATATTTGCTTTTAGCTGGATATCGTCTTACTGCAATGACATTTTATGAAGAGGTTGGTCCTTCTGAATTGGCTTTTTGTCTCCCTTTCTGTGATTTTATGATTTTCTGCAATATTTTTTTCTCGTTTTTTCTGGTTATCTTTTTGTAGGATTTCAGTTTTGGAAATTTTTTGTCCTTTATCCTTTTTGGTTTGCAATTGGGAAATAAAGTGGTACTCTGACGTCAGCTGTAGTAGCTTCATTATGGATCGTGAACCACTCAAATATGAAAAAGTCATTCATGGAATACTGGATGTAGTTATGCTATTTTAATTTTTCTGTCAGGAATGGGATGTCTTGGATAGTAGTATTATCAAAATTGTCTGCCTCAACACTAAGGTGAGGCAGGTTTTTGGGCTAGCACCTTGGATAGTCGAAGGAGCCTCTTGTTGAGGAGGCAGCCATGAGATCCTATCTTACACTTGAGGTGGGATTAGGCATGAGGAATTAGTCTCAGTCACATCATGAATTTAAATGATGCTTTTACTCGAACTTTTACCCATTAAATCTTAACCAGTTGGGTATAAAAATCAGAGGGGAGCAGTCATATCCATGTGCTATGTAAGGGAAAATAAAGAAACACAAAGTAACCGAAAACAACTAGCTAGACATTGAGATTTATGGGTCCAGTTTTGTATTTCTAAGGTTCTTTCAGTTTTATTTTCTTTTACTTTTAAGATAAAATATTTTCCCCATTTTATCTCCTTTTCATTCAATGTCCTGCTTTTATCTGTGCTCTTTCCCCCTAAAACTAAAAAATAAGCTAAAGGAGATTTGTGTTCTTTTTTTATGTTCCCTCAAGATTTGTTCAAAAATCATCAAACATTTAACATTCTGCCAACAAGGTAGATGTGTCACAAAACCTAAAAAATTATAAGGACTTAATGACAAAGAGAATCTGAGTAATAATATTGGATTGATATTATGTGTTTGTGGTATACGTACAAAGATCTTGTTGAATGTAGAGAAAACAAAATGTTTGTAGAGGACTCAAAATGAGAATGCTCTTGATTTATATGTGGTGCACATGTGTAAGTATAGTAAGTATGCTCTATTTTGTTGGCCTGGGCATTTCTTGTGCTTAACTTTAGCACTATTTGATCTGCTGTACAAGTGTTGATCTAGGTTACAGACCAGGATTTGGACAGTTGGCACAACACACTGGCATCTGTACCTGATGCCTTACGCCATTATTATTATCAGTATCTTTCATCAACATCAGAGGCTGCTGAGGTGATTTCTTATCTTGATTGTATCAGAATGTTTCTCATTGCATACTTCCCAAACTAGTGCTGAGATTTTAGTAAACAAAGAACAGAGCTGAGAAATTGTGACATATGTTATGGCTTTGCTCCAGTTGATTTCTTAAGCTTACGTTTTGTGGGTTTGATATCATGTACCATGTATTTGTAGGCTTTATGAGTCATTTCCTTCTTCTGTCATTATGCTAGTTTCTGCTGATGATTGGTGTTTGGGTGATAGAGTTGGTATTATTAGTTTATGGTTAAAATTAGTGTATGGGTTGGGCTTGTGTTTACAACTCGTGTATTTATCTTGATGATCTATCTGTGTATTTGAAACTATAATTCAACCTTCCAAACCTATGGTTTCAAACATCAAAAGGTTTTCTTTAACACATGGATTCTACATGTTATTTGTCATCAACCACCTATCCCAAATGCTGTTAGGTTTTCAGAGGTACATCAATGGCTTTTATATTATGTCTAACATTATGTGACTGGAGTCACTTCTCAGCTAACTAGATCATTGGGTTTCAAGTTAAATTGGTCCAGTTTATTGGGTTTTAAAATTATGGCTGAACATATTTGAAAATGTTGTATGCCATTAGGATTTGAGTTTACTGTGGATTAATAGAGAAAACCTCAGAACAGCGATCTGATTACAAGGCCAATATGAAGAAAGTGTAGCAATTGATAATGAAAACAAAATCAGAGCAGGAAAACTGTTATACTTCAGAAATGGGTATGTTTCACTTACACTCACTCATAATTCTTAGAAGATTGTAGAGAATAAAGAAAACTAGAAGACTTCTCATTATTCCCTCAAAAACAGAACAAAGGTTCTATATATATTTCTGGCTTCCAACAAAACCTGTTTTCATAAGCCAAAATTAGATAAGCAACAACTAACAAAATTTTTATGTCTATTCACAGACTGCTATTACAATTTCCCTCTTGCAAAACAGGACTTGTCCCCAAGTCCTTTACATTGTTCTGGATATTGAGTTTGTAGTTCACGTAATTCCTTTGATTTGCAATGTATTACCACCCAGTATTCCATGTAAAACATTAATATATAGCTTGAATCATGTCTATGCTGCTGTCTAAAATAGCTTTTTCTTCCTCACAGTCCATGTCCTGCACTATATTGACCTCAATTTCTTCCTTTAAAATCAGTAGTTGCTGAAACAGACAACGTTGGTGTAGATTTGTTATGATTCAAACTGGTTATAGAATGACTCCACTGCGAATTAATAGGAGCTGACCATGTTTGTGTTTCCGAACTGGGGACTCTTGCAGCAATTTCTTTTCCAAATCTTTTAAAATTCCCTCTTGAAGTCTTGCAAGATGCATAATTTCTTGCAAAGATTGTGGTTTATGAACTCTCACAGATTTTTCCAGTTCAGTTTTCATTCCTGACAAAAAAAAAAACATAACTTAATATCATTGATTTAGATACAACTACATGAGCCAAGAAAGAATAAAAAACTTCCAATTATTCTCCCAAATCTCCCTCTTGTTGCTTGATAATTCGGCAACAGGATATCCTCAAAAGCATTATCATCACATCGATATGCCACATCTTGTAATATTTGTTCCCAACATTTATTCTTGAAAATGGGTTGATGCATGTAATGCCATTGCCATGAAAAAGTCTTTCCATCCATGGATAAATGTAATAATTTCCCACGTTGTGCCTTTGGTGTAGACTCCAATTGAAAGAACTGCTCAGCCTTTTCTCTCCAAAGATTTCTTTGTTGCTTCTTGCGCATCTATGAATGAATGTTCCAACGAATCCAAACTTATTTCTAAATTCTTCATGGTCACCATTCTTCCCAAACGTACCAAGTTTGCTGATACCCATTGTTATACTACAGAAATTGGTATGTGTCGCCATCGTCAAAAGAGGCAGTCGGAGCGACACGATGGTCTTTTGATTCGACTCACGTTTTTAAAAAGTGTGGTCATCACCCTTAGGATGTCCGATAACCGAACTATTCTAAGGATGAGGTTTTCATAAGTGGGTTCTGGAGTTGTCACCAATATTTTTACCGAAAACATTGGAAAAGGAAAAGAAGGCAATGGTTTTAAGAAAAACCAACTTTGGTCATTACAACCAGAGTTAGGTAAGGGAGTTAGTTACGTGTGGGGAAGATATTAGCTTCCCCACGACGCCTCTTTCGGGTTCCCTACGATGGACTGTTAATTTTTTAAAATAAGAACATTAAAATTATGCTTTTACCCTTATTTATTCATTGCAAAATTTAAATTATTGACTACATGACCCTAATAACTAATGCACAGAGATGGTAACTAATAAAAGCGATAATAATGGAGTAAGGGATATAGAGGAACCTTTGAAGCAAGTTTTTATAAATGTTCTTGTAAAGGGCGCTTTTTGGCAAACCCCACTCTCTACAATGCCGCTCACTCTTCTCTCGAAGGGCTCTAGAATGTCTGAAAAGAACCCTAAAATTCTGGAAATGCTTCAAAGGGATTCTAGAAGAGTGTAGGAGGGTATATTCAGTTGAAGAAGGTGTGGAAAACGAGGAGAGGACCCCCCCCTTTTATAGAAATTTGTGTCCGTTAGACTGGGACGGCCATCTCGCCTGACAAGGTCGGGACTGCTGTCTCGATATTCGGGACCGCTGTCTCGCCAAACGAGATGGCGGTCTCGCTTTTGACAAATGGTGAGATGGTGGTCTCGCCTTTGACAAACGGCGAGACGGCGGTCTTGGTCTTCTGGGTAGAATTTTCTTATTTTTGTGTACAAAAAGTCTTTCTATTCTAATATGGAGCCTATTGAACAATCCTAGGGACCTTTAAGGCCTTTTCCATCTTCGAACGAAAGTCTTCTACTCTTTATTTTGAGACCGGGTAAGATTTGGGGTCTACAGTATGTTTCACTTATACTCACACACAATTCTCAGAAGATTGTAAATGATACAACAAACTAGAAGACTTCTCATTATTCCCAAAAAAACAGAATAAAAGGTTCTATATATAATTATGGCTTCCAACAAAAACCGTTTTGCTAAGCCAAAATTAGATAAGCAACAAATAACAGAATTTTTAATTCCATTCACATACTGTTATTACAAAAACTTCCCTGTCCTGCTATGCAAAGCTAGCCACCCCCTATCCCATTTCTCCCTTCTTCCCTTATCCACCGAGAGACACTAACTTTAACAACATGCTTCTTGCACCTGTTGCCACATCTGCAAGTTTTTACTATAACTAAAGTGAATCCCATTGACCTTACCCTGTATAAGAATGTCTAACAGATATGTTTTGATACTTGTGGCTTATGAGGATTGATAATCTGCTTTCCTTTTGTGGTCTTTTTCTCGAGAAATTATTTCTGTAAAAAGTAAACCTTTTTATAGAAAGTATTTCCTTTGCAATAGAATTTAATTTAAGAATTCCTGTTCTTAGTAAGTGAAATTTCTTTTCTTTATATTTTGGAGACATTGGTTGCTTTGAATTAATTGTTACTTCTTTTGAAGATTTAGATAAATATTTTACCAAATTAATCCTATAATGTTCATTTCAAGTTACTGCTTCTTCTGAATCAAACATGGATGCTACTGCAGGAAAAGTTTTCCCTACTACGAGAAAATGAAACTTTGCTGAATGCAAATAAGAGGCTGAATCAAGAAAAGGGGAACTTGTTGAAGGACAAAGATTTGGCTGATGCTCAAATAGTAACATTGACTAAGTCCTTGGATGCAATGCAGAAGGATCTTAATGACAAAGAGAACCAGGTATTTCCTTATATTTAAAAGAAGCTCAAGAACAATATCCATATTTTCAAATATATGATATTAATATACTAATTTAACTTTAAGGTGCAAGTTTTGAAGCAATCCTTGGAGCACCAAAGAAAGGAACTCGATGATTGCAGAGCTGAGATCACTTCCCTGAAAATGCATATTGAAGGGTCTCACTTGGGAAATAATCTAGTTGTCAGTGAAGCTAATATTGTTCAATCTGAATCTCTGGAGAATTATAAGGAAGAAATTAGGAAATTGCAGATGGAAAATGAATTGTTGAAGGAAAAAAATATAAAATCTCCTGAATTAGGAGATTTTGTTGGTTCTGAAAATGGAAATTTGCATGATAAAGCGATTGAGATTCATGAAGACACAGGTGAACTCTCTAACACTGTTGATGTGGATTTGGGCGTTGACCACAAAAAAGATGCTCAATCACCAGCTGTTCCGACTCTTAATCAGTGTGATGATAAAGATGAGGATACATTGCCTCAGTTTTTTAATCCTGCAAATACAAATAGTACTGTTGAAAATATCAAAAACGTCTCTGAACAAAATGTTGGGCTACAAGCAGAGAATAGCAGCTTACTTTTAAAATCAGACAGTGTGAATGATGAAGCAATATCTGAAAGGACGGTAAGTTCATTGTACTCTTAACTTGAAGAAATCCTTAAACATCTTTAATTGGTTTCCTTTGCTTACCTGTTTGGATTAGTGAGACTGAAAAACTGATGCTAGTTTTAGTCAGGACTCCGGATGAACTAGAAATGCTGTCTCTGGCTTCCATTGCCAGTATATAGTGCCTCTGAAAATTAAAATGATAAAAAATCTCTCCCTCTTTATCCAAAAGAAACGAGGAAGAGTAAAGATGACTAAATTTTAACAAAAGAGTTCTTTGTCTAGGTCATTATATAATTTCATTATTTGATTGTTATATATGTTTGTATTTTAACAGGGGTTAGGCACCATTCAGATACTTGCAGATGCTTTGCCTAAAATTGTTCCGTATGTCTTGATCAACCATCGAGAGGTTTGCTTCTCTATGCATTTATTTCACTAGTTCACTGCCCTATATTGGCTGCATCAGTTTTCTTTGTTTGCAGGAACTCCTTCCCCTAATAATGTGTGCAATTGAGCGTCACCCAGATAGCAGCATTCGAGATTCTTTGACCCACACATTGTTTAATTTAATAAAGCGTCCAGATGAACAACAGAGACGAATAATAATGGATGTATGTTGTGATATTTTATTAACTTTTCTAATGAATGATTTTGAGTGAAACCTTTAATTTCCCTGTTGTTCTTTCAGGCTTGTGTCAGCCTTGCAAAGAATGTTGGAGAGATGAGAACAGAAACAGAATTGCTTCCACAGTGTTGGGAACAAGTATATTGTAGCCTCAATTTTCAACCTACTCTTTGCCATTCTGATTTTGGAACAAGGTTTTCAATTTGTTAAGTGTTATTATTTTTAGATCAGTCACACATATGAGGAGCGTAGACTGCTTGTTGCTCAGTCATGTGGAGAGCTTGCAGAATTTGTACGGCCAGAGATTCGAGATTCTCTTATTTTGTCTATTGTGCAGCAACTGGTTGAAGATTCTGCCAGTGTAGTTCGTGAGGCTGCTGCTCGTAATCTGGCCATGCTTCTTCCACTTTTCCCAAACACGGATAAATATTTCAAGGTCAGCCTCACTATATTTGCTTCGAGGCAATCATGGAGAAGGTTTCTGACTTGAGACTTGGCTACAATGTAAGCTCTAGAACAGGTTGACAAAACATGGTCTAGGGAATGGAGCCTTTTATCCTTACTAATATGACAGTGTTTTATAAAAAAGAAAGAATAATAATAATAATAATAATAATACTAATAATAATAAAGATTAAAAGTTGCTCCAAGTATTTGTTTTTTCTGTTGATAGGTGGAGGATATGATGTTCCAATTGGTGTGTGATCCATCAGGAGTGGTGGTGGAAACGGCTCTCAAGGAATTGGTTCCTGCAGTTTTGAAGTGGGGGAACAAATTAGATCATGTTTTGAAAGTTTTGCTTTCTCATATTATAAACTCTGCCCTGGTAATTTATTTGACTTTGTACTGTCACTGCTTCCTTGCGATTGAGAATTTCATTCTTCGTGAATATTATATTTATAAAGTAGAAACCATTGCCCCCACTCTGCAGCGTTGCCCACCTCTTTCTGGAGTTGAAGGATCTGTTGAGTCAAATTTGCGAGTCTTGGGTGAAAGAGAACGCTGGAATATAGATGTTCTGTTGAGAATGCTGGCAGAATTGCTTGCTTTGGTGCACCAGAAAGTAATTGAGACATGCCCTTTTTCATCCACTCCAGAAACTACCCAAGCTGGGCTATCAACTATTTTGCTTGAATTGTATGCTAGGTAAGCGTAGCAAGAATGGTTTATGCCAAGTGATTCATGTTGAAATCTATATGCATTCTGCAGGACATGTCTAGCACATTTCCATACACTGATGAAGTGTATGACTGCTGTCTAAACTGTTAATCATCCTGAATGATTTCCATTTTTTTTAGGGGGCAAGTTGAATGGGATGCCTTTGAATGGATGCATGTTGAGTGCTTTCCTAATTTGATAAAGCTGGCTTGTTTGTTACCTCAGAAAGAAGATAATTTACGAAGTCGAATTTCAAAGGTCTCTTGCCTATCCTTTGGAGTTTTATAATTAATTATTTTATAAGACTTCTGATAAAAGTTTGGTTATAGTTATTTCTGAGTTTTTGCTTACATAACTTGATTGAATGCAGTTTCTGTTATCTGTTTCTGAAAGTTTTGGGGATTCCTACATGACATGCATAATGCTACCAGTATTTTTAATAGCAGTTGGAGATGATGCCGATTTGACATTTTTACCAACTTCCATCCATTCAAGAATTAAAGGTAATCGATTCTTCAATATTTCTTTGATTTTTTTCACATAATTACTATGTATTTGACTTTTCACTTGTAGGTTTGAGACCAAGGTCTGCTATTGCCGCTAGGCTTTCGACAATGTGTGTCCTTCCGCTTCTATTGGCAGGGGTTTTGAGTTCTCCTGGAAAACATGAACAATTAGCTGAATATTTGAGGAAGCTGCTACTAGAAGATAATTCCGTGCAGAATCCATCAACCAATCACATTCCTGAGATTATTAATGCTATCCGCTTCGTTTGGTATGATTGTAGCAACAAAAACATTCTTGAAATTTATTGTATTTTTCTCTAATACTCAGAATGACCATTCTATGCAATGCAGCATATATGAAGAAAACCATGGTATGATAGTTAATATACTATGGGAAATGGTTGTCAGCTCGAATGCGAGCATGAAAATAAATGCCGCTAAGCTGCTGAAAGTTATTGTAAGCTTATTGCTTCCTTAGTTCCTGGTTGCATCTCATACAAATGCCAAAACTAACGCAGCGGTTTTCACTGGTAGGTGCCATACATTGATGCAAAGGTTGCTTCAACTCATGTTTTGCCTGCCCTAGTTACTCTTGGATCTGACCAAAACCTGAATGTTAAGTACGCCAGCATAGATGCATTTGGTGCTGTGGCTCAACACTTCAAAAATGAGATGGTAACCGTTACTAATATTCCTCCCTGGTTTCTGATTAAATTATGATGTTATGCTCCTCATTTCAAATTGCTGATCAAATAAAATATCTTCCAGATTGTTGACAAGATACGTGTTCAAATGGATGCTTTTCTTGATGATGGTTCCCATGAAGCTACTATTGCTGTTATTCGCGCTTTGGTGGTTGCGGTACCACATACAACTGAAAGACTTAGAGATTATATCCTTAACCTTTTTTCTGAAATAATTATGTTTGGAAAAAGGGCTTAATGTCAACCATTTTGTCTCATTAACTTAGTTACTCGCATTTTGTTTGCTTGCAAGATCTCCGAAATTTCACCGTTTCTCTTTAACTTGACATACATCTTTTGTCCAAGATTTCCCAACTAACAGCTATGCCGAATTCAGCAAGTGATTTGATGCGTCGAAGGGAGCGAGCCAATGCATTTTGTGAGGCAATCCGTGCTCTGGATGCTACAGGTTTCATTTAAATTATATTAATCTTGTGTCCACAAACACTATTTAGCCATTTTTATTGTTGAAATTATTGTCTTTTAGGTATAAAGATAATCTTAAGAGATAATCTCTAAGATACTCAAAACTATTTCAAGATTATAATATATTTTTCATTATTCCTTTGTCTTGTTTTGTTTGACGATTTAACAAAATAAAATTGTTGTATTATGATTGTCATTTTACAAAATCAATGAATTATTAATTTTTTCTTGTTTTATATCCTTACCCATTTATTGTCGAAATGAGAAAATAAAAGTTAAGCACAGATATGAGAGAATATAATTTAATATGAAAGACAAGGGATATATAAGAAAATTGCATAATGTTTTTTATGAAATTTAAGATATTAATTCCATTTCTTAATTCTTTTTTCCAAAATCTTTAAATTTGACTTGTTTAAGTAAATTAGTCTAGTTTAAGTAACTTTGTTTTCTACATGTCAAGCCTATAGTTCTAGTACTCACTAGAACCCGACACATTTACACCCTTAAGCTAGGGTCTAAAATTGCAAGATGATGCGTAAAAGTCAGCATGGAGAAACTGTTTTGCTGATACTTTACATTTCATTTTTCTTCTCTTATAGATCTTCCTGCAAACAGTGTTCGGGATTACTTCCTGCCCACTATACAGAATCTCTTGAAAGACCTGGATGCACTAGATCCGGCACACAAAGAAGCCCTTGAAATTATTATGAAGGAAAGATCAGGAGGAACTTTTGAGACTATTAGTAAGGTGATGGGGGCTCATATTGGCCTTCCATCATCAGTCACCAGCTTCTTTGGTGAGGGTGGGTTGCTCGGAAAGAAAGAAAACGCAGAGCCACCATCAGAAGCTAACGTGTCTCCCAAAGTGACCTCACCATCACCAGTAGAAGACACTAGATTCAAGCGGATCATGATGGGAAATTTTAGCGAGATGATTCGTGGCAAGGCAAAAGCCCCAGAGGAAGGTCACAATCAGTAACATGTATTTCGGGCTTGGTTGTGATATTTTGGCCGTTACATTTGTTGAAGGTCACTGTTGTTTCCGTTACAACGAGGGAGATTTGTCCTAGTAGGTTAGATTAGCCACTGTTCGTTTCCGAAATATTAGTCATTTAAAAAAAAAAAAATATTTTGTAGTTGCATTCTATTAGATAGAAGAGGAAAATGTAGATAAATATTTTATAGCAGTTTTGTCATATTTTTGCTGTCGTATGTTTGGTTTTGTACTGAAATTTTATGGATTGGGAGACACCTGTTAATTCTTTTATTTGGAGAGAACGAAAACATTCTAAGAACTCAATTGGTTCTGTCGGCGTATTTTGGATGTTAACCAAAAGTTTAGAAGCAATTTTGCTTTAGTTTCCTTTTTCGTTGTACGACATTGTGGTGAAAAAGAACTTGTGACTCTCACTCTTAAGCTGATCCTAATAATAAATTTCGTTTAGGTTTGGACAACTGAATTTAGTAAACTAAAAAAAAAAAAGTATAGCATGATAAGATAATGATCATTAAAATAGATGAAAAAAGGTTTTTAATTTCAAATGGTACAAAAATGTAACTATAATATTTACTTTCGTCAAACAAAGTTTTAAGTCAAATTATAAATTAAGCATACTCAAAATATATTAGAATACAGTTCAAACTAAATTATGTTTAAAATCAAACCGGTTTACTATTTCACAACTAGATTAACGAAAACCCTTTTGTACTTAAAAGATCAATTTTAAACTACTCTTATATATTAAAAGTTGAATATAAATATGTTTTATTTCTTCCAACGTCAGTTTTAAATCCCTCACATTTTCTAACAGTATTTTTAATCGATAGAGTTAGTTTAAAGCTAAAAATGAAAAAAAAAAAATTAAGATCACAAATAATACTATGAATTAAGATAGTTAACTTTTTTTTCTTGGAAGAACAATATTTGTAGGGATTTACGTTATATTCAAGTTAATTATTTTATACTAGTTTTAAATCGTGTAAGGATAGATAAAGAAAAGAGTGATAGTCATTTTTTATATTACATAAAATTTTAATATATTATAATTATTAATTCTAAAAAGTTAAACATATTTTAGTATTTTTAACTTTAGAGATAAAGATTCTATTATGATATATGAAAAAAAAATTATAATGATTCAATATTATAATATAAAAATTAAGTTATAAAAAATAAAAATAATATATATAACTTTATTTATATTAAATAAAAAATATAAGACTTAATTAAATTATGTATTAAAAGAAACCAATCATCTTAATGTAAAATATTCTGTTAATAATAAAGACTAAAAATATATTAATTAATATTTTTCATTTTTAGTTTTAAACTAAATATAATCAATAATGAAGACAAAAAAAGACTAGAAAATGTCCACAATTTAAAATTATCAAACAAATTCACAAGATTAAAAAGCAGACAAAACTATATTCACAAGGAATAAAAATATATTCAAACATAAATTTGCTTCAAAATTGACTTAAGTAAAATTTATATTAAAGGCGGTTTTTACGGTAAACTGTGAGGTCTATACAACGTATCTTCAACTATAGTTAGTGGAGGACAACTGAAGAAACTTCCACTCGCTGAAAAATATGTCTCTAATTGATAAAAAAAAAAAAAAAATCCCTTTATTAAATTCGTCACTGTCTCTGGAAAATCTCTAAATATTGTCAAAAGATTACATAAGCGTAGAAAATCCTATTAAGAAAATTGCCGTTCAAATATATACATAAAAAATCCAAATAATCTAGGAATTATCGATTGAAGCAAAATGTAAATTATTGTAAATTTCTAATACTTCTAAATAAAAATAATAGTTTAGAAAGTTATGAATAAGTTAAATTATAAAATTTGAGGAAAGTGAAAAAGTTGGGACAATAAATTTAAATATGTAAGAAAGTGATTTTCTTTTCAAAATAATATTAAGAAATTATTAATTACCTAAATAAACTCTTTTCTACTCTATTTATTTAAATAGACATGGTCAAAATTCGATTCTCAATTACCCAAATTCTGAATTGTATTTTGATTTTTTTTACCAGTATTTATTTATATGTATTTATATTTATATATTTATATATATATGATAATAATTTAATAATTATATATTTAGATATTATATATATATATATATATATATATATATTCATATAGTTAAATATTAATACATGAATATATTTAGATATTTATATTGATATATTTTTATATGTTTAGATAATTAAACATTTATATATGTAAATATTTATATGTTTATATATTAACATTTTTTAATAATTTTATATTTATATATTGTTATAATTGTATTATATATATATATATTAGTATAATTATATAATTATATATTAACATATGTTAATATTTTTATATATTTATATTTATATAAATATATTATAATTATTTGATTTGTTATGTTAAGTAATATTAAAAATAAAACAAAGATGATCTACACTCCTTTTATGTGATTAGATAAAAAAAATTATGATTGTATTAGAATTATAAAGAAATAATATAAAATTGAAAATTTGTTTATTAAATTGAAAGATAAAGAAATAATATATGATACATGGAATATATTAATTTTATAGACAACGTTGAGATACATTCTTTTAGTGTGACCAACTGTGTGACAAAAGTGAATAAAGTTTGAGATGAGATTGACTTTCTGTAATATCCATTTATGTTCTTGTTCGTCTTGACTTTGAATGAACTTTTGCAGTTCTCTTCATTTTTAGATTTAAGGTCAAAATTATACGGTATAAGATGACTAATAATCTTCATTTCTTAATTCTCTGAACAATCCTTAATAGATTTTACTGACTTGTACTAAAGTATAAACAAGATTTAAGTAGTTGGTAAAATCATTATGTGCGTGTTTGCAAGCAACTATTACATGGAGTTTTTAGAATTTACCACAGTCACACCATAATTCGTCTAGCTTTACTACAAATCGGCCTATTGGTCTGACTTCTCTTGGATTGACAGTTTCTTCTACCAAAAATCTTGTACTCATCCGGTCAAACTCAATCACTCTATGAGTATTTGCCTTTGCATGTGCATCGTATAAAGCCTTGACTGTCATTTCAGCATATACGTGTCCAGCAACAATCATGATCGCAACTTTTCTACCTCTTTTGATGAAGAACTTATTGCAACGTATATAAGTTATTATTACCCAGGAGGAAAGAGAAAGGTTCCTTGTCATTTTGAGGATCAAATTGATTGACTTTGTTAGGTTAGTGGTCATGTGTCCCCAACATCAACAATTGTCCCAAGCTAGAGTCTACTCCTCCCTTGGAGTTTCATCTAACCATGTTGTTGCCTCCAGATCATCATTTCTTACTATGTTGTAATAGTAGAAAAACCTGGGCTTAGCCATTTCATATGTTGTTTACAAAATAATTGAAATAAATTAGTTACTAGATACTTGAGTTAATTAAAATATAATGAAAATAATGAGTTTAGAAAATAACAGAAGTTACCCATGTTGACAACATCCTTCTTAAGTGGACTTTTCTTGAATCTCCTCATAAAATTATATCAATGTGTCGAATACAATACACATACATAAAATTGTTTTCTGTCCAACCGTTTCCCTCTATTGAGTTAACACTTCATATGGACTCATGGCGGGAAAAAATGAGGCATAATCCATCTTGTGGGGTGACGTATCTCCTTAGGTTCCGTTGAATATAGTGAAAAACTAAGTATAAGATTAGTTTTTCTTGTGTATAAAACACACATAAGATAATATATTTATAATTAAAAGTCATATAAGTAAGTATAACAAATACATATATTGTGATTAATATTATCTAAAATATCTAATAATCCTTTTCAAGTTGATGCATATAAATTATATGTATCAAGTTTGTTACAAATATAATCAATTTTAGGTCCCCGTAAAGATTTGGTGAAAATATCTGTTCACTTGAGTTAACAAACTCGGTCTTAATGTCTCCAGATACAATCTTTTCTCGAATAAAATGACAGTAAATTTCAATGTGTTTGGTCCTTTCATGAAAGACAGGATTAGAGCTAATATGAAGAGCAACCTGATTGTCACATTTAAGTGTCATTTGAGTGATATCTCCAAATTGCAACTCTTTAAGTAATTGTTTAAGCCAAACAATTTCACAAGTGGTTGAGGTCATAGTTTTATATTCTGCTTCTGCACTAGATCTTGCCACAACACTTTGTTTCTTACTCTTCCAAGAGATCAAGTTACTTCTAAGAGAAATACAGTACCTGGAAGTAGATATTTTATCAGAAGGAGATCCTGCCTAGTTAAGATTTGACTAACAAACAACTTGAGCCTGATTATTGTGATCATATAACAAAATCTTTTCTAGGAGATCCTTTAATGTACTTTAATATATGGATGACTAAATTCCAATTATCTGCACATGAGGAATTAAGAAAGAAATTGACTTACCACACTATCTGCAAAGGAAATGTCACGACGAGTAACAATAAAATAGTTTATTTTTCCAACTAATTTTTTGTACTTCTTAGGATCTGAGAGAGACTCCTCCTAATTAGGTAGAGTTTGATATTGGAATTCATAGGTATGTCAATAGATTTTTAGTTCATCAACCTAATTTCTTCTAAAATATCCAATGCATATTTCTTTGAGATATAACAATATCATTATTAGATTGTGTTACCTCAATCCCTAAGAAATATTTAACTTTGCCAACATCTTTGGTTTGAAAGTGATGACAAAGGTGTTGCTTCATCTGGGAGATGTCATGGTGATCACTCTCTGTAAGAGCAATATCATCAACATATACTATTAAATAGATACACCCAATACTTGAGTGACGGTAAAATACTTACTGATTTGTCTCACTGCAAGTCATACCAAATTTTTGAACAACACTACTAAATTTTCTAAACCAGGACTTAGGAGACTATTTTAGGCCATATAAAAATTTGTGAATATGACATACCAATCTAAAAGACTTCCCCTAAGCAAC